CAGAGGCTCCCGGAGGGGCCTGGCAGCTCTGATACAGCCCCCAGGCCACCTGCGGGCAGAGAAGAGGGTGAAGAAACCCAGCACCTCCTTTCTGTTGAAGGGGGAGTCCTGCTGCTGGCGAACATCGCGTCCTCGCGGCTGCTGGCACTGCCAGAACCTGGACCCCGTCCCAAAAGCAGCCCCCGGAAGTGGGAGCCCCCGCTGCTTCTTTTCAGCTCCGTCCTCTGCTGAACCTTCTCTGGTCTGGACTGGTCCTTTTTGTCCATTCGGGTTTTATTTTTGACTCTCTGGTGCCAAAGAAGGGATAAGGTAGCATACAAACATTTGAAGCAGAGATTGGACATGGTTTGCATGTGCCATTTTTCCTATTCAGAACGATTGGCTTTGGCCAGGGTTGTTGTTAACAGCGACGACAAAGGATTCCTCAGTTAAGGTGGGTGGGGAGGGGGGGCAGAGGACAGGGTCATTCATTTATTTGCAACCCCCCACCCCCGATTCCATTCAGAGGAGCACAGTGTGCCATGTAGATCCCTTGCAAAGAAAAACAACTCCTGCTAGGTAATCCCAGCATCGAAAACATACCAGTAGCAAGTGCAAAGAGCTCCCCGAATGCTAAGTAGACCATTCTTGTTTGCCTTGCTTTTTGTGTGGAACTGGGTCACTTCCCTCGGCTCCTTAGTTACCGTCCACTCACTTGCCTCTCTCTCTGCATGGGCACAAATGGCGCCAGAAGGATTGTCAGCCCTTCAAAACCTAGGTGTGTGTCGGGGGCAGCCTTCTGGCTTTCCTCCTACAGGTCTTGGGTCGGCTGGTCTCTTTCGCTCCCTTTTATTTCATTGCAAACTTTTCCATGCCTTTTTTTTTTTAGTTATTTTGTCTCGGGAGCTGCATCTGGTTTAAATGGGAGGAAAATATTCTCACTTTCGTGGCAGGGAAGGAAAGGGCCAGCAAGGTTCTCAGCTCCATCCCAACCCTCCCTCCTTGCGAAAATTAGAATCCAGATTTTCTACTGACATTTCTCCTGGAAGGAAGCAACCACGCTGCAGTTTATCTGGGTTAAACAAGCCATGGGGCAGGGAGGAGCCTCCCTTTCTGCAGGGGGTGTGGAGGATGCTAGTAGTGGGCCCCGGCAGCCTCATTGCCTGACCCTCCTCTCTGCATGTGCATGGGTGCAAATTGGAGGTTTCTCTGGCGACTGCTGTCCAGGGCCTTGGAGGTGATGCTCTCCCCATGCTCAGCACTCAGCTCCAAGCCCTGAACCTGGTCCAGCTCCCAACTGGGAGCCCCTGCAGGCTCCAACTCAGTGCCCAGATCACTACTGCATCCAGGGGGTCCCAACAGTGACCCCTCTGCCCTTCTGACTGTTGTGGCTGCCTTTCAGGATCTTGTCTGCAGAGGCAGAGCCTGTTATTTGGAGTGCAGAAGAAGGCATTTCTTAATTCCCTCCTGCATTCCTTCTAGGAAGCTGATCTCCCCGGCCGGCACGGAACTGGAATATTGCTGTATGTCTGGGTACAGTGTGCTTGGCATGTCGCTTCTGCGGATTAGTCTTCGATTAGTCTTCCTTCAAAGAAAGGCTCAACAACTTGCGGTGCTAATCTCTGAAGGATTTGCCCCCAAGGTTGTTCTGGCCTCGGAAGGCAGCAGGACTCTCGGAGGGGTCTGTCTTTGCCGCAAACAGGGTGGGACGGGTTCCTGATGCCCACGTGCCCTTCTTGCCCTAGCCCCCCATTTGGTGTGGGAACCCCATTCTGGAGCCTAGCGAGCATTGCATTGCAGGGGGTTGGAGTAGATGACCCCAGGAGTCCCTTCCAGTTCTGTGATTCTGTGCTCCATGTGGGTAGAGTGACATCGCACAGGACCAAAGGTCCGCGTAGGAGGCGCGATAGAGGGAGGTGGAAACGGCAACCAAAATGGTCAAAGGCCTGGAAACGATGCCTTATGAGGAACGGCTAAGGGAGCTGGGCATGTTTAGCCTGGAGAAGAGGAGGTTAAGGGGTGATATGATAGCCATGTTCAAATATATAAAAGGATGTCATATAGAGGAGGGAGAAAGGTTGTTTTCTGCTGCTCCAGAGAAGCGGACACGGAGCAATGGATCCAAACTACAAGAAAGAAGATTCCACCTAAACATTAGGAAGAACTTCCTGACAGTAAGAGCTGTTCGACAGTGGAATTTGCTGCCAAGGAGTGTGGTGGAGTCTCCTTCTTTGGAGGTCTTTAAGCAGAGGCTTGACAACCATATGTCAGGAGTGCTCTGATGGTGTTTCCTGCTTGGCAGGGGGTTGGACTCAATGGCCCTTGTGGTCTATTCCAACTCTATGATTCTATGTGGCTTCTGGCTCTTGCCAGAAGAACTATACAACTTGTAGAAGACATCTGAAAGCAGCCCTGTATCGGGAAGTTTTTAATGTTTGGTGCTTTATTCTGTTTTAATAATAATAATAATAAATTTTATTTATACCCTGCCCTCCCCAGCCAAGACCGGACTTAGGGCGGCTAACACCAGATATAAAACAATTGATTAAAATACAACTTAAAAACAAGAATAAGTACATGATTAAAATGCAGCCTCATTTCAGTAGAAACTCAAATCAAAAACTTTTGGGGGGATTAAAATGTCAAGTCTTCACCAAGGCTAACTATCCAGCCTGGTCCTACATGGGCCAGAAAAAAACCAGGGAAGTCCCCAAATAGGAGGATAGTATATAAATTTAATAAATTTAATAAATAGTATATAAATTTAATAAATAAAAATAATAGTCAGTCAAGCTTTACTCCAAGTAGATCTATTGAAATCAGTGAGCCTAACTCAGTCAAGTTCATTACTTTCAGTGGGTCTGCTCTGAGTAAAACCTACTCAAATGCCACTCATCATAATTAATAACACAATTTATAAAGCACAAAACTAAACTAGTAAGAAAAACAACTGGAGACCCTTGGTGACTCATTGCATAAGGTGCCTGATAAATAGTGAACCCATGTAAACCCTACAGCTCAGCCAGGCCCATTGGCTATTAGAGAGGGGGCCAAGCACATCTCCTGGGGCAGAAGGTTTCACAGTTTGGGCACCTTGACAGAGAGGGGCCCACTCCTATGTGGGTATTGGAAAAGAGCCCCACCACCACCAATGACCTGAATGGGTGGAGGAGACCATTATTCGCCATGTATTCTCCTTCTGCATGGGGTCCTTCCTTCAGTGTTCTGGGGTGATGGATCAGCATCCCTCTCCTCTCCTGTCTCCAAGACGAGATCTCCTACCTGAGATCTTCTCCCAGTTTTCCCTAATTTGGTTTGCCAATAATCCGGAGTCTGAATCGGGGCCTTCTGTGTGGTGGCCTCAGCAGCGTTGCATTTTCTCCTGCACAGTGCCCTGTTTTTGCAGAAGGTGAGCGAAAGGGAAAGGGCCAAAGTGCAGTGGCAGACCACAGGGACGGGGTACCGAGGGACCATTGCTCTGACTTGGTGTAAACTAACGTCCTGTGTTCAGAATCTCAGTTTTTCTATAACTAGCTTTCAGGAGGACGTGGTAGCACTAGATGCATTGCAGTTTATCGTTTTGGTCTGATGAAAAGCCAGCAGCAAATGTCTTAGGTTAGTGAGCACCCAGGCGGGCAGCGTGTTGGCTGGGTGGGGAGTTGGGGGGGGGTCTCTCCTCTCATTAGCTCTCTCAAAAGCCCCCTCTCTGCTGCATCTCCAGCTCTCAGGTTGGCGCCCTTTTCTGCAGTTTCCCAAGCAAACCGCAAAGCTGCCTTTGATGTTGCAATGAAAAAGGAAGAAAGAGATCTCCGTGCAATTATTGGGAGCCTGAGGAAGGGGCAAGCTGGGTGGCAGAACGCGAAAAGAAGGTCTCCTCCTTCTGTGGGGCTCCAGTAGCTGCAGAAGCCAAAACCTTTGGAGCCAACTGGATTCTTTTTCCGAAAAGGCCTTTTCTTCAAAACTTGCAGTAAACTTTGATAAAGCAACAGCAGTGTTCAAACTTGAACTTTTGTGTTGCATCTTTTTTTACATTTAGCATAATTCTTCAGTGGGAGTTGTTCAGTTATAAATCCATTGCTGCGAGCTGCCCTAAGTGCTGACTGAGGCAAGGAATGCATTCGTACGCTGTTTGATTCAAGAAGAACCACTTTGAATCTCTGGCTGTATGAAGGAGAGGAGGGGACAGGAGGACATTTCAGGAGATCACATTGCCCACCTACTACCCTTGAGGCTGTCAGGGCAGACGGACCTCTTGATAATTATATATGACCGCATGGCATTTCCCCGACAGAAATCAGAGAGGCCTGATGTTGCTTCACTTGCTGAAAATGGATTGGTTTCGCCAAGCATTTTTAGCTAATTAATTTGATTCAGTGTTGGTCATTTCTTCCATATGTTATGATTCTAGAATTTAAAGTTTTATGATGTTTTAATGATTTTACTGCATATCACCTTGATTTTTTTAATGAGTTGGTTTATTAAGATTCTTCTAAACTAACAGGCAGACAAATGAAAATAATTGCGTAGTTTTGCACAACTTGCGTAATTTCTTCCAATAGCAGAACTTGCTGTGAAACATATATCTAATTTTCGAGGACCTGAGTGGACTTCCTTGAGGGAGATTTTTCAGGAACTGTGTAACTGAGGTCTTCCTTGGGCCTGGGGGGTGATTTCAGTATCTTAAACTGGCCCCCTCCACTCCCACGCCTTCCCCCAAAGGGCTTCCTGTGCTGCCTGTCCAGCTCTTTTGCACCTGCAGGAGGAGCTGGCATTTCCAGGGTCCCCTTTCCTAGTCCACCTGGTTGCAGAGAGCATCCTGACTGTGAGACGGCCAAAGCCACAACTAGACCTTGAGGACAGAAAATTCGCAGTTTTAAAATTCAGCTAAGTGACCGTGCTGTCTTGGCCAACTGGTGCCCCTGGGTAGTTTCTTCACACCTGGTGTGAGCTGTAGTCCTCCCCCCATCCCTTTGTGGAATAGTTGCTGCTAACTCTCACCTCTGCTTGTTGTTTGTGTGCAGAGTCGTCTTAAAGAAGCTGTGCAGTTGCTGGAGGATTATAAACATGGGACTCTGCCCCCAGGAGTCACCAACAAAGAGGTAACGGAAGTGCATGAATCTTTGTACAAGCTTTGCGTAAGCATAAGAACCTCCTGATCTGCTGCTATAAGTTCCATGGCCAAAATGGGGTCTACGCTCTACAGGCGCGTCTGCATCTTCGAGGGTCAGGTGCACATCAGATGTGCTCCCTTCTGCATCGGAAACCCATAATTTAGATCAAGACAAAGATGCATCTAGCCTAGAGCCAAATATTCTCCTCTGTGCATTCTGATATTGAATATTTTCTGTATCCTACTTCACACATCACTCCAAGCCCTGTGGTATGTTTAACCCAGCCTAGAAGGCCAACCATGGTTGGTTTCCCGACAAAAACCACATTGTGACGCCATGGTTTGTTGATTTATGGACCATGGCTTGTTTTCACTACTGCTTAGCATTGTATCTGAAGCAAACAAGCTTGCTTAACCGTGGTTTGTTTGGCTACCCCAGGTGCTCACCAAGCCACAAAGGTGTAAGGCAAAACATAGAAGCTTTGGAGGAACCGAGCTGTGGGGCTTATAGAATCGTCCGTGAGACAACATGTGGCTTGTGGAAGAAACCCTGGTTAAAACGGCACTATCTGTGTACGCATCCAGCCTCTGAATATTTGCCAGATATTAATTGGGTGTTTTAATATGTGATGTTCATTGATGCTGGACTTTAGTGTTTGAAATTTCACACTTTATTTGACAGCTGACATGCAGTGGTATTTAATGTTTTGACAGTGTTTGTCAGGTTATGAAGTTTCATTTTTGACAGCTGCCAGAATCCAAACAATCAAAAGATGCCAAGAAGTCTATAAAGCATTTGAGTTCTGAGGTAAACCAGATTCACAATTTGATTTAAGCATTGGACATTTCTGGGGATCCCAAGTTTCTGCCAGATTTTGTTTCGGCGCCCTCACATGCAGCCCAATGCCCTTAGGAGCTTGACAGTCCCCAACACCTGGGAAACAGCAGCGCGCTGCCTCTGAATTTGGAAGCTCCATTTTTAGCTCTCATGACGGACGGCCTTCGTAAGCCTTTCCTCCATTGCTCTGCTTAATCCTTTGGAAACTGGTGCTCACCCTCATCTCTTGTGTCAGAGAACCATGGCATAGTTGTGTCCAGGGGTGTGAGCAAACTTGCTGCAAGTGCAGCTTCGCAGTCAGAGGGGTCTATATTTTTCACTGTGTGCTGCCTGCCCCCTGCGCCAATCACTATGGTGCCAGGGGTGCATGGTTTGGATTTCCATCCACGGGTAGTCTGGACATGACAAGTTGTTGCAGAGAGCATCTGGGAGAGGAGACACATCCTTTCACTTTGCCATGGCTGGGTTGGGATTTGAACTTGGGTTTCTTGTGTCCACAATCAGCGCTTTGTCCAATGACCCCCCATTGGCTGTGACCACAGACGTATTGGAGCAAAGTTATTTTCCTCTACAGGAGAGGCTCAAGCCCAAAGATTGACCTGCCCACTCCCCAGTTCATGGTTCAGCCAGTTCAGGGTTCTTCACTACTGTGGCCAGGAAGGCCTCGTTCAGACAACTTTTGGACAACTAGGATGAAGACCTTTTGCATGAAAACCCTCTGCACCCTCCTGGGTGGGCATCACCGCTGAATCGGCTGTGCAGAGGCAGCAGGTTTGCCCTTGTTTAGCCTAACCTACCTGAATGTTAGGGACGTGGGTGGTGCTGTGGGTTAAACCGCAGAGCCTAGGGCTTGCTGATCAGAAGGTCGGCGGTTCGAATCCCCGCAACGGGGTGAGCTCCCGTTGCTCGGTCCCTGCTCCTGCCAACCTAGCAGTTCGAAAGCACGTCAAAGTCCAAGTAGATAAATAGGTACCGCTCCGGTGGGAAGGTAAACGGCGTTTCTGTGTGCTGCTCTGGTTCGCCAGAAGCAGCTTAGTCATGCTGGCGACATGACCCAGAAGCTGTACGCCAGCTCCCTCGGCCAATAAAGCGAGATGAGTGCCGCAACCCCAGAGTCGGTCACGACTGGACCTAATGGTCAGGGGTCCCTTTACCTTTACCTACCTGAATGTTGGGAAGAGGCCTCTTTGTCCCAGAAAGAAGGGCTACAGGAGCAAGGAAGAATTGGGGTGGGTGGGAAACGGGGACTTTGCCCGTGGGATGTGGGTGGCAGTTACGCGATGCCAGCTCTGCACTTGGCGAGTGTCAAGGAGCACCGCCAGGAATGGTGCTGGGTGGCGGCTGTGAGCCAGTAGGCTGGGAGGGAAAGTGCCTTGCCGGCAGATGGGCTAATAAGTGTCTGGCATGTGTCAAAAGCGCAGAGCAGCTGGTGTTTGGGGAAGGCCCCATTGTAGGAGGGGTCTGCTGCTAGCGGGCATTGGTCCCTTTCTTCCACTTGCATCTTCCCCCCCCAATACTTCCAGATGACCCACCTGGCCTCTCCTGGTCCCATGAAGGTGCGCATGGGGCCAGGTGGGCCACAGCGCCACAGAGAGCGCACCTTGAGCAGTTTGTTCCCACAGGCATTGGGAGTGACCAGAGACCTTTGAGCGCCTGCCCTCGACTCTGCTCCCTTGGTTGGAGACCGACCGCCTCCAAAAGAGGCAGCCATTGAGCTCTTCTCTGGCCCTTCCTGTGCCAGATGAGCTATTATGGGGATGTAACTGAGCAGAAGAACGCTGGGCTCCTCCAGCTCTTTAGTCCATGATGGTGATGACAACAATGACTTGATAGTCACTTCGTTACCCAAAGGTCTCCAAGAGACTTGCAGTACCTGTAAAAACATAAGCATAGACACAGTGTACTATTTTTTAAAAAATCATACAATTCATTAAAATGTTTTTACACTATGCAAAAACAACCACAGGAAGCTTGGGCAGCGCACTACTAATGCGCAGAGCAAGAATCTGTTGCATTCTACTTGTGGCTCCGTATAATGTGATGTACAGCGGCAGGGTTAAATAAATAAATGAAATAATCCATCCACAGAACAGATCAAAACTTAGCCGTGGCAGGCCACTCAGCAACGGCGTGGAAGCAACCGTGGCAAACCTGCCACAGTCGTTTCTGCAGCTAGCTAGTCATTGCTACTGGAAAAGATGATCCGAAGTGCTTAGAAGGGATTGTTCGTGTCGCAAAAGTGCACTGCAGTTAAGTGTATTTGATTCATTCTTAACTAGGGATGCTCGGTTCTGTCTGTCCCCATCTCAGCAGTTCACATGGTTGCCTCCTCTGTGCTGAAATGCCAGATGATGAGGCGGAGGGGAAGAAGGGGCAGCGTTTCTGAGTCTTCCCGTTTCTCTCTCTTTTTTAAAAAATATTTTTATTCACTTTCCAATACAAAATTATATAGTCCATACAGTTTAGTTACATCCCATTTCTCCTTGTTGACTTCCCTCAACCCATCTGATATTACTTCGTTTCCTTACTTTCTCCACATTTCTAAAATTATAATTACATTACTATTATTTAATTTACCTTATTTTTAATATTATTCTGACATTTCTTTTCACAGAGCTTAATTAAAACTTACAAACGTTATCTGATTGTCACTTATTTTTTGCATATACTCTGTAAATTTCTTCCAGTCTTCTGTAAATCTCTGATCTTGTCGATTTCAGATCCTTCCTGTCAGTCTATCAAGTTCTGCATAGTCCATCATTTTCATTCTCCATTCTTCTTTCGTTGGTAGCTCCTCTTGTTTCCAGAGTCTTCCCGTTTCTCAAAGTGTGTGTCTGGCTGACCGGTCATTTGTCAGGGATTCTTTAGCTGTGATTCCTGGGTTGGAATCTACAATTCTATGATTTGATGGCATTGCTCCCCCATGTCTTACCCAAGCCACCTGGGAGATGATGCTGGGGGCAAGGAGGGACTATTCTGGGCTGGGCAGCGCTACTGTCTTTGCATCCTGCTTGCGGGGGCTTCCAGGACGCATCTGCTGCAGACACAGTTCTCAAACAGAGGGGCCCTTGGTCTGACCTGGCAGAAGTTGCCTGACTTCCCTCCTTGGCTGTTGGTTCCTGGCTGCTTTGGAGGGCTTGGGCAGCCCTCCTCAGCCAGGCCAGGTTGGGATGCGGAGCTGCAGGACAGGCCCCACAGCTCATTAATGACAGAAATTAATTGGGGGGGGGAATGCACCAGGCTCCTCTGCTGTGGAACCAGTGATGAATGTCCAGCGAACAGCTTGCTGAGGAAGAGGTGTTACCCAATTCCTCCGCTGAAGGTCCTTGTGTGCTGCTAATGATGGTAACAGGCTGTCGGCCCCCATCGCCAAGGTTTCCCAGCACTGCGTGGGCTGCCGTGGGGAGGAGGAAGTCGGCAGGGCCTGGGCTGCCTTCATGGCTGCGGGGGCAACTTCTCGGCTCTCCTGCTCAGTTCCAGCTATCCGTGATCCCTGCTTAGCAGAGCATACAGAAAACGTGGCGCTGCAAACTTCGCTAACCTGGCCCCTTCCAGGTGTTTGGGGCTGAATCTCCCATCGCTTGGAGGGTCAGGTGGCCATTTCTGAACCCAGGTAGCCTGATCAGTTTTGTCAACTGATGGGTAACCTCCAGGTTGGACTACTGTAGTGTTCTGTTTGTAGGGCTGCCCCTGAGGTTGACCCGGGTGGTGTGGCCAGAGCAAAATCCCTCTCTTGGCTGCTCCCTGGAGCAGACTCCATTACGCCTCAGCTGGAAGGACTGCACGGGCTGCCAGTCTGCTGGACCTGGTGTACGGAGCCCCAGCTTGGGACCGCAGGTTGCCCACTAAGTTATTTTGTTTGTGAAGCAAACTGAATAGAAGTGCTGAATAGATGTCACTCTTGTTTAAAGAGAGAGTGAGCAGAAATAATGATGGCAGTCTTTGAAACCTCCTCCAAACCTCCACGGTCCCCTCCTAGGAGTTTCCCCCTTTGTGGAGGAAGTTTGGAGCTTGTTTTCTAGCCGGCCCAAAGGACCCGCAAAAGGAGCCACCAAGCATGACGTGTTGAGACATCCTGATAGAGAAGCCTGTGTCTGGATGGCACTAGCTGCCTAGGGCTAAGTTTCTAGGGCTCTCTGGCTTGCAGCTCAGCTTCTTGGCTCTGTGGAGATGCCTGTGAGGCTGGGAACAGGGTCCCTTCTCCCCCCAGTAATAATTTTGGGGGTGTTCTCCTCTTCCTTTTGAAAGACAAGGAAGAGGCGACATGATAGAAAGCTTTTATCCCTCTCCCATAAGACTAGAACTCAGGGACCAGCCAGTGAAGCTGAATGTCGGAAGCTTCAGGGCAGATAAAAGAAACGACTTCTTCATGGAGTGCATTGTTAAACTATGGAACTCCCTCCCCCAGGAGTTGCTCTTGTGCTGGAATCCTGCTTGGGGTTTTCCAAGAAGAGGCATTTGGTTGGCCACTGGTCAAACAGGAGGCTGGGCTTGAGGAGCCCTCTTTGGCCTGATCCAGGCTCTTTTCACCTTCTTATCATATTAACACTGCAGCCAGGGGACTTCCCCATATATTTTCCTGGTGATTAGCCTAGGCTGGTCACTTAGAGCAGGGGTCAGTAAGGTTTACCTCACCTGGGCCGGTTCACTCCAGCGGAGATCCAATAAGCGCGTGCGCATGGAATTTCTGGCATCTGCGCAAGTGCAGATGCAATTTCCGGAGCCGCGGAAGCGAGTCCCCACACCGCGCTGTGCCAGTTTAGTGCAGTGAGCAGGGACTCGCTGAGCAGTCAGCTCGGTTTGGGGGCGGCTCGTGGGCTCGTTTAACGACCCCTGTGGGCCACTTGTGGCCCATGGGCCTTAGGTTGCTGACCCCTGATTTAGAGGGTCCCTTCCTGCCTCTTCTGTTGCAGCACTCCAGTCTATGTAGGTGCAGGAAACTTCACAGCTTTTGGCTCACAGTTGTCAGGTGAGGCATGTAGACAAATGTCCTTCCTCATTGAGGAGAGGGCCATTATGCCAAGCTGTGCCTCCACAGCTGGAGGATCCTGCTTGGATCCTGCCTGCAGGTTTCCCTTGGGCGCACCTGGTTGGCATCTGTGAGAACAGGATGCTGGACCAGATGGGGCATGGGCCTGATCCAGCAGGCTCTTCTGATGTTCTCTGGTGTAGACGATCTCCAGCCCGTCCTGCTTTCTGCCTCGCTCTCCTCCGCTGGCCGTGCCTCTGACCACAGCCTCCTGGCGGCAAGGTATCTCACCCATCTGCCGCTTCCCTCACCTTTAAGTCCTTTTAATTACTGCTCCCACCAGCTGCTGCAGAAGAGCTAAACGGAAATCGCCACCCATTTAACACAAGCCTGCCCCCCTGTGAAACGGGATGGCTAGGCACCGCCCTCCGCTGGCCTGCTCCTGGGGAGGTGGGCTTGCTCTCCCCTTCCCAATCTCCAGCCTGCTTCCGCCTGCCTTCCTCGACTTCGCACCCCTCCTCGCCCTTGCCGAACGCAGCCTCCTCCGCAGCTCTCTCTGCCTGGAGACGGATTCATCTCCCTTTGTGGCGAAGTGCAAAGAGACTCTGCCACCCTAATGGGCAGGTATTTATTGCCGGGCTCCCCCTTCAATCAGGCTAGCAGCGGGAAGGGCCCCTCCCGCTGGCTCAGGCACAGCAGAGGACAGTGAGTCTGCCGGAGGCCAAACAGCATCCCTTTGCGGGGATAAATGGCTTTTCTTTTACACTGTTGATGAAGAGCGAAGAGGTCTGTTTGCAGTAAAATGGCACTTTGCACTTCCTCCTGCCTCGCCTGGCGCCTAAGTATTACTCAGCCCTGCACAAGGTACAGATTGCAGGATGCTGGGGCCTGCAGTCTGAGAAGCCCTTTGACAGCCCTTAGCGGGAGGAGGGGTCCCCCATTAGAGGCCCCCCAGTTTGTCCCAGTTTCCCACAAGATTCCTCATGGAGACGGCCAGGGCAGAGCCTGTTTCACCAGATGGTGTGCGGTGGCAGCGGGTGCCCCTTGGGGATGGTAGGGCAGAAGACGGGGAGACCCACCGTAGGTGGTGCCAGGCGGGGCCACCTCATTCCAGCTTTGCCCCCCTCTTCCACAGGGGGCAACACAGAGGAGGAGACTGGCAGACAGGGTAGCTTGAGGCTGGTGGGGCAGTGCCCCCTGCGTGCCTCCTAATGGATCAGCCTCCATGGCAGGGCAAGGGGCGCCTTGGCACACTCTCAGCTTCAGTAGATCCACCTCCTGAGCAATTGGGGACTTGACTGTGGGTCTGAGTGAGGCTGTGGGGACTGGGAAAGAGAGCACTCGGCTTGCCTGAGACCCAAATGTCTGTCCCCATGGCAAAGAGAAGGGGGAGATGTGAGCTTCTGCCTGCCTCATTCAGGTAGAGCTGCTGTGCCACAGACCTTTGGCTGTCCCCAGTGGCTGTGGATTTGGAAGAGTCGGGGTCCTGCCACTTTCGGGTTTCTTCTTTCTCTGACTGCCTCTTCCACGCCCCAGAGATTGGCAGGCCAGGCAAAGTGGGCATCTCTCTCCCTGCCCTTCTTTTCTAATTAACCTTGTTGTTGTTTAGTCGTTTAGTCGTGTCCGCCTCTTCGTGACCCCCTGGACCAGAGCACGCCAGGCACTCCTGTCTTCCACTGCCTCCCGCAGTTTGGTCAAACTCATGCTGGTCTCTTCGAGAACACTGTCCCACCATCTCGTCCTCTGTCGTCCCCTTCTCCTTGTGCCCTCCATCTTTCCCAACATCAGGGTCTTTTCCAGGGAGTCTTCTCTTCTCATGAGGTGGCCAAAGTCTTGGAGCCTCAGCTTCAGGATCTGTCCTTCCAGTGAGCACTCAGGGCTGATTTCCTTCAGAATGGAGAGGTTTGATCTTCTTGCAGTCCATGGGACTCTCCAGAGTCTCCTCCAGCACCAGAATTCAAAAGCATCCATTCTTCGGCAATCAGCCTTCTTTAAGGCCCAGCTCTCACTTCCATACATCACTACTGGAATTAACCTTAGGAAGAACCTTTTCTCACCTGCATTTGCCCCCCTGCTGCCTGCACCATCACATGAGGATCATGTGAGAAGCACCCCCCCCTCTTGGGAGGTGTCGTGGGGGGTCTGGCTCCCTTTAGTGACCCTTGTCTGAATCCCTCCTTGCTTCCTTGGGGGATGACGTGAGGACTAATTAATTCACGTTAGTAAAGTGTTGTTTGAGTGCATTTTTATCATCTTGTCACTTTCAGAACTTGACTCCATTAGGCTGCCTGCTATTTTACGTTGGAGTAAATCCATTGGTTCCGGCAGGGCTCCTCTCCGTGGGACTACAAGAGAGTCAGATACTTGTTTTGCCATGCTGCCGGGGAGGTGGGGGCTGGGTGCCATGCTGCAGTTCCCACTCCAGCTATTCCAAGTCCCGATGTCTCTCGCGTCAGCTACACTTGTCCAAATCTGCTGAATCGCTGGTTTAGGGTGCTAAAATTTAGGGTGCTAAAGCAGTCACCCGGAGGCCAATTTAACTGCAGTCAGGTCCGCTCAGTGGGACTTACTTCTGAGTAGACATGCCTAGGATTCCACTGCTAAGAGGACTTTTTGGAAGAGTGCAGTGGGTCATTCTTGAAAAGTGCTGTGCCATTTGGAGTGATGTAATTGTATTCTCTGTTATCTGAATACAAAGTAATACAATCGTAGAATTGTACAGTTGGAAAGGACCACGAGGGTCATCTGGTCCCAATCCCTGCAAGGCAGGAATCTTTTGCCCAGCGTGGGGCTCAAACCCACAGCCCTGAGATTAGGAGTCTCGTGCTCTGCTACTTGAGCTGGCGGGTGCCAGGGTGCCCTTGCACTTTATACATCCATTGATGCAAAGTATCTGGAATGTGTTTTTTTATTCTTAGAATTTTAGCAAGAACCTCACACAGAAATCCTCACCTGGCGGGAGGGGTGGATGCAGTGCCTCCCCTTTCATTAGGCAGTCTCATGGGCGTAGCCAGAGGGGTGCAGGGGGGGGGACAGCTGTCCCCTTTAAATCAAGTAAATAAATGAAAATACTTAACTAACTGACCAATTGAGTCTCAGATAGCTCAGTTCTGCCCCCCCCCCAAATCCTGGCTACGCCCATGTGCAGCCTGTGCCACATTTCTCTTGTTCTAATTAAACTATAATCTGTTTGATTGAGCGTCAAAGGGTGGGTTTTCGTGGGAAAGCTCTGGGCAAAAAACACAACGCTTGAACATGGAGCTTTTGAGCGTGGACCTGTGCCTGGAAAGGGCAGGGCAAAACGTAAGCGTGGATAAGCCCTTTGTCGCTGGGTGGGGTTGCAAGCGCTGCTCAGGTGGTCCCCCCATCTTGCCAGCCACGGGCAATGGGAAGGCACAACTACAGACATCTCTCCTGCAAGGGTCAGGGGCCACCACCCATCTCACGTTTTGGGAAATGGTGGGATGTTCAGGAAACTTGTGCTTTGGTTTCCACAGTGAATTTGTTCAGAGGCAAACTGGGTTGTGGATTCCTGGCCTTGCATCCTGTGACATTTGTTTTGCATGTGCACCAGACTCTGCAAGCTCCTGGGCTCACCTGACTGATTCCCTCCCCCTAACAAGCAACATTAATTATGTCCTTTTGTATTTCTAGCTTTGGAAAGCACAAAAAATTAAACAGGTAACACACTCTTTGCTTCTCCCTTATCATGCTGCTGCTGCTGCTTTTTTGCCTTCCTGCAAAAGTGGCGAGTGCTGGCTGTCCTTGTCTGTTTGGCCGCCTCTGCTCTGTTTGCCCAATGGGATGCCTGGCCTTTCCTTGCCCTGCGAGCTGCCCTTGGCTTCCCTTTTCCATTAGGGTCAGGGAGGAGTCACTGCAGGGGCCCCAGACCAAGAGAGAGGCAATGCATGTTTCCAAGCTCATGGGGATGCTGATGGGGGGCGGGGGGCGGGAACAGGCCCAATTGCAGGCAGGTGAGATCTTCCTGCTAAATCCAACAAAGAAGAACAGGCATCCCCAAACTCGGCCCTCCAGCTGTTTTTGAACTACAACTCCCATCATCCCTGACTAGCAAGACCAGTGGCAAGGGATGATGGGAATTGTAGTCCAAAAACAGCTGGAGGCCCAAGGTTGGGAAACACTGGCCTAGAGGATTCTCCAGGTGTACCCCCTCTTTGGGACGCGGGTGGCTCTGTGGGTTAAACCACAGAGCCTAGGACTTGCCGATCAGAAGGTTGGCGGTTCAAATCCCCACGACGGGGTGAGCTCCTGTTGCTCGGTCCCAGCTCCTGCCAACCTAGCAGTTCGAAAGCACCTCAAAGTGCAAGTGGATAAATAGGTACCGCTCCAGCGGGAAGGGAAACGGCGTTTCCGTGCGCTGCTCTGGTTCGCCAGAAGCGGCTTAGTCATGCTGGCCACATGACCCGGAAGCTGTACGCCGGCTCCCTCGGCCAAAAAAGCGAGCGCTGCAACCCCACAGTCGGCCACGACTGGACCTAATGGTCAGGGGTCCTTTACCTTACCCCCTCTTTAGGCACCCCAAGGTGTGGCTCAGTTACTTGTCTTCTCATTTACAACAGCTTTGCCTGTAAATCAAGCAAGCGTGGACCTCCCCAGATGGAGTTTCTGCCTTCTGAAAGCCCTTGTACATTCAGATAGGAGTGCAGGAAGTACATGTATATCACAGTTTAAAGAGGAACAATTTCAAGGCGATAGGCATAGCAAGCAGAGTTCATAATTTTTATTTAGAAATACCCTCTCTGGTCGTTAATTCTCTTATAACACCTTCATTGCTGCATAATTTCTGAGGCAGGCTGGGCTCTTCTTGTCCCGTTTTAAGCCAAAGGAGATTGGTTCTTAATTTCTAAAAGGAGAGGCTGGTGTGAGGTGCTGGGGGGGGGAGCAGACAGTGGGGGGGCCTTGCCTGACTGTGGCCCCTTCCCTCTCACCCCGGATCCTTGGGGACTGGCAGTGGTTGCTTATTGGCAAAGGAAGGACATTCTGTGCATGCTCAAAAGCCTTCCCTTTTTCATAATTATGCCATATATTCCAGGGATGGGGGGGGACCCCCACAGTTGGAAGAGAACTCTTGGTAACTCTGGAGTGCAATCATAGTCAAAACTTCAGCAAAGGCCTTTTTCTCACATAATAGACCCTCTGTCGCACTTACATAGTCCGACTGAATTGTGGGAATGTCAGCCTGGGATAATAATAAATAATAATATTTTTTTATTTATACCCCGCCCTTCCCGGTTCAAAAACCGGGCTCAGGGCGGCTGACAACAAATTTAAAACACTTAATTGTAAAAGCAGCATAAATTCCAGTATAAAAACATGAATAACAATAAAATTCAAAATTCTTTATTGGTTTTTTGTTTTTCAAATACCACCTCCTCTCGTGGCTTGAGAGCGTTTAGCTGGGGGCGAGGAGAATGTGCATGGGGGGCAGCTTTTCAGTGCTAGCCAGACCTGCTTGCGGTTTGTGCCTTTTGAATGTATATGGGGGGTGGGGGTCGGGGGGGGGTTATAAAGGAGGTCATGGAGGCAGGAGAAAAAGTACAGCTGTCAATATGTCACCAAGGACCACCTCTCTCTCGCAGGGCAAAAACCCTCTGCCCCCCATCATCCCTGGGGTTGTAGGCAACTCACTTGCACCACGGCTGGGAGGGCAGGATTGGGAATAGCACCCCCCTTCCTCTCTACCTTCACTCTGTCTGATTTCTTGTAGGCCATCATCCATCCGGACACTAACGAGACGATTTTCATGCCTTTCAGAATGTCAGGTATGGCCCAGCCTCGTAAAGAAGCTGCTTGGATGCATTATGTTCCCCCCTCCCCCCCAAAATAAGGAATCCTTTAAACAAAAATATATTGTACTGCTCTTTGGATTCCCCCATTTTTATTTTAGGATGCCAAAAAGGCTTTTGTGGACCTGCAAGCCCCTTACAATTAAAATAAAAACTTTTAAAATTATATATGCACTGTGTGTGTGTGTGTGTGTGTGTGTGTGTGTATACATCTACCAACTGCTCTCATAGCTTCCCTACTTTGGTACTGTGCTACCAGAATTTGTCAATTTAAATTAAACATTAAAAAAAATCTTTGTGCTGAGCGTTTCTGCAGGCCCCCAGCTCCCTGCTGTGCTTATGCAATTTCCGCTGGCTTTTGTGGCCCCTGAGACCCCTCCAGATGCATTTTTGCATTGCCTTAGGAAGAATAGGGAGCCTCTGCCTTATGAGAGGAAAGGCAACAGGAAGGTCTCTCTTAGGAAGATCCAGATGGGGAGCAGCAAAAACAACAAGGGGGTCCAGTTGGTTAGAGCGTGGTGTTGATAACGCCAAGGTTGCAGGTTCGATCCCCGTGTGGGACAGATGCCTCTTCTTGCATTGCAGAGGGTTGGACTGGATGATCCTCAGGATCCCTTCCAACTTGACAATTCTGTGGTTCTTGCGGCACTTTGAAGACTAGGAAATTCATTTTGGCATAAGCTCTCGTGGACTCCAGCCCACTTTGTCAGACGCGAAAGTGATGAAGTGGACTTCAGCCCACAAAACCTTATGCTGCAATAAATTTGTTAGTCTTTAAGATGCTGAGAGTCACTTTGTTGTCTTAAGATGTTACTGGCCATCTTTCCTTTTAAAGGACTTGCATTAAAACTAATGATTTTTCTCTCTTCAAAATTGCTGCCTGATAGGCTGGGGGTGCCTTCTTCACTCACTCACTCACTCACCAGAGGGTTGTTTTTTTAATTGATTGATTTGACAAGTTAATTGGTTAAATATTGCAGCCCTGCTTAAAGGAATAACTGAGACAAAGCTTCCCCAAAAGTGTTTGGGTGGACCTTACCTGCTCTGCAGCCTCGTGCCTGAGCCCTGGCAGTTTTCTTTCTCCCCCAGAGCCAAGCGCTGCACTGAGTGCGTGACCAGCTGGGATTGGCTTGCAAGAGCCACCGCAAATAGCAGCTCCCTCAATTCAGACTCTCGCCTCCCCACTGGCATTGCATCCCTCAGGGAGGAACGTAGTTTTGCTCATGGCACGTCAGATTTAACTCCTCTGCAAGTGTGCACACATGTGATGAGACCTGTGGTATCATTGCCTCTGGCCTGAGTACCTCTTCAGATTTTTATTTTGCCATTTTATGTTGTGAACTGCCCTGAGATCTACGGGTGAAGAGTGGCGTACAAATAATAGTAGTAGCAGCATACCCTCCAACATTTCTCCAGTGAAAACAGGGACGTCCCATTCCATAATGATAATTTTCCTATTTATACCCCACACATCTTATGGGGTTGCCCCAGCCACTCTGGGCAGCTTCCAACATACAGGGTTGCTTTCAGATGGCTCAGGGGTTGCATAACTCCATGCCCCCCAACATTTCTCCCATGGAAACAGGGACGTCCTAAGGAAAAGCGGGACATTCCGGGATCAAATCATAAACCGGGACGGCTGCTCTAAATCAGGGATGTCCCTGGAAAATAGAGACTCTTGGAGGGTCTGTAGTAGTAGTGATGATAATAATAATAATAATAATAATAATAATAATAATAATGCCAGAGTTCAGTAGCAAAGGATGGTGGGCAGACTCCTAATGTCACCTGAGACACAGGAAAAACACAGACACAGTTCTGGACAGGATTGAGGTTTGATGTGGCCCTCAGCTCCTGAAGTTAATGGCACCCTTTATATGTCCAGCTGCCTTTTGACAACAACAAATTGTCGCTGTTTTTTTGTGTTGTATATATGCTATATAGTCATTTACAGACCTAAGAGGTATCTCAAGCCATTTGCACATGTTGCCATGCTACCAGTCCATGCAGAATGTCGGCACCCTATATATAGAAAGGAGCGAACCAGTGATTCCTGCCAACCTAGCAGTTCGAAAGCACGTCAAAGTGCAAGTAGATAAATAGGTATACCACTCCGTCAGGAAGGTAAACGGCATTTCCGTGCGCTGCTCTGGTTCACCAGAGGCGGCTTCGTCATGCTGGCCACATGACCCGGAAGCTGTACTCCGGCTCCCTCGGCCAGTAAAGCGAGATGAGCACCACAACCCCAGAGTCGGCCATGACTGGACCTAATGGTCGGGGTCCCTTTACCTTTTTTTTAAACCAGTGATATTTTAGGGAGCAGGCTAGCAGGCGGGGCCCATGACTTACATCATAGGAGCCTACACAACACAAAACACTGTTGCTGTATGTAGGTTTTATTTCATTTGTTTTATATCTTATATTTTGGAAATGTACATCCAGTTTCCCCCCCTTTTTGTGGGGGGGCCTAAGAGAGTGGGCCCCCAAGCTATAGCTTGTTGAGTTTATACATAAATCCAGCACTGGTTCTGGGGAAGGGTGAGGTCTTTTGTCTCTTTGTTCTGCATCTGAGGTATCCCTTGCACTAGACTATAAACCTATTTTGGGGTGATGGAGTTTCTCTCTGTATATACTAACATATTTTCCCCCCCCTTCTTCCTGTAGGTTACATTCCTTTTGGGACACCTATTGTGAGTATTTTTGCATCTTCTTGCTCCAGCAGTGCTTGGCTTTCATGTTTGGTGCAAAGTACCTTGTCGGCCTTGGAGGGGCAGCCTTTACATTGGACACTCCACATGATGTTCCTCTGCTGGCACTGGGGGTGGGAGGAAGGAGACGGAACGGCCCACCTTGGGTTGGGTTCAGCCTGGCAAGAATCCACTTCCTTTCTCTCTGCCACGCTCTGCTTTCGTTCCTCTCCTCACCCAGCAAAGGCTTCTCCATCTGCCTGAAGCACTGAATGAAGGAATAAAGCTCTTAGAAGTACAGTAGAAGGGACATTTTCCCCTTGGCTGAAGTCAATGGGGTGATGCAAGTGGGGCGGAATGGGGGTCTGGATGGCAGAATTTGAGGTTCAGAAGTGGATGCCATTTCTGGACATCAGGGTGCGCCCTTTGTCTTAGGGATGGAAGAGGCTCAGTCTGATCCAGAAATATTTCTTCTCAATGAGAAGCCCTTCTGGCCTGAGACCCAGCCCGAATGCCTGAGAATACTTTCTTTTGGTGAAGTAAATAGGGAGCATCTAACCTAGAGGTGTGAGGAGGGGTCTCCTCAGTGTCCTAAGATGGATTGGTCTTGTTCCCTTAAGAGTATAAAGGAGAGCCTATTGGATCAGACCATGGGTAGGCAAACTAAGGCTGGATCCGGCCCAATCGCCTTCTAAATCCGGCCTGCGGATGGTCTGGGAATCAGCGTGTTTTTACATGTGTAGAATGTGCCCTTTTACAGTCATACCTCGGGTTAAAGTTGCTTCAGGTTGAGCGTTTTCAGGTTGCGCTCTGCGGCGACCCAGAAGTAATGGAACGGGTTACTTCCGGGTTTCGCCGCATGCCCAGATGCTCAAAATGGCATCACGCGCATGCACAGAAGCGGCGAATCGCAACCCGCGCAGGGCTCCGGAATGGATCCCATTCACATCCAGAGGTACCCCTGTATTTAAAATGCATCTCTGGGTTATTTGTGGAGCATAGGAATTCATTCATTTTTTTTTGTTCAAAATATAGTCCGGCCCCCCATAGGGTCTGAGGGACAGTGGACCGGCCCCCTGCTGACCCCTGGATCAGCCCCACCTTGTCCAGCATCCTTTTCTCACAGTGGCCAACCAAATGCCTGCGAGAAGCCAGGGAGCAGAACCTGAGCTGAACCAGAGTCACACTCTGCCCTCCTGTGTTTTCCAGCAGCCTCTGCATTCAGAATCCTTGCTGCCTCTGACTGTGAAGGGCAGAGCGTAGCCATCCTGGCTAGGAGCCACCCATAGCTCTCTCCTCCTCCGTGAATTTGCCCAGTCCTCTTATAAAGCCTTCTGGGTTGGCGGCCATCCCTGCCTGGCGTGGGATTGACAGCCACAGTTTAAAGCATCCTTTTCCCAGAGGTCCCTTGCAGGAACCTCCCTTACGGCTCAGTCATCTGTGCCACCCTTAATGCCACCTGAAATCAGCTGCCTCGCCTTCGCTCCCGGCAGAGAGCCTCCTGGCTGCGCTGCCCTTCTGCTCCGTTCTTCCTCAGCTCCCCCTCAGTTATTCTGAGGCTTGAATTCCTCCCATGGATGCATTCTGGGCCACATTGCCGGAGACATATGGCCCTTCCTGTAATGATAGATCTTGAGGGAGGGGCTGGCATGGCTCCCAGCACAGAGAGGGGAAAGGTGTCCTTATTTATGTTTAACATTTGGGTGGTAATCTGTAATTAACTTTGCAAAAAGTTAAACACAAATTTTGAGTTAGCGATCAGGTTGACACCAAAATCGGCCCGAATCCAGACCTGTCAGAGATGCTGAGAGCTGTCAGCAGAGCTCAGTTTTGCGAGCTGCAAATGATAAACTGGAACCTCTTGTCATAAAGCAGAAAAGGAAAGGGGAAAAAAAAACCGATGTTCAAATGTTACATTTTAATTTTAACATTTATGCCAATTGATCTGTGAAATGTAGTGACATAATTGGCCGTCTGCTCTCGCAGTCTGAGTCTCAAACTGAGCATACTGGGAAGAAGCGGGTGGCGATGGAGGGAGTGGAACTGGGAACCCCCTTCCCTCTCCCCACGGCGGTGTGGGTCTCCATTGCCTCCACTTTAGGGTGTGCTAAACCTGGGGCGAGCATTTGCCGCCCTCCAGAGGGCTTTGTGAATGAGCCAAGAGAACTGGAGGCTCCTTGTGCCTGGAGTGTGGGGCCTGGGGCCACGGTGTGGGTCTCCATTGCCTCCACTTCAGGGTGTGCTAAACCAGGGGCGAGCATTTGCCGCCCTCCAGAGGGCTTCGTTTGTAAGCCAAGAGAACTGGTGGCTCCTTGTGCCTGGGGCCAGAAGAACCCAAGGACAACCATGCAGCTGGATCAGGCCACGGGGGACCCATCTGTTCCAGCATCCTCACAGTGGTCAACTAGACGCCCCAAAGGAAGGAAACCCACAGCCAGGACACGGGCCAGAGGCAATTGCTGGAAACCTCAAGAGGGGAGAGGGCTCCTGGGCTTGGATCCGGGTTGGAGGTTTCGCACAATGGGCAGCTGGCTGGCTTCTGTGAGAACAGGGTGCTGGACTGGTTGGCTGGATCCAGCAGGGTTCTTCTCGTGATGTATTCCATAGTTGAACAATCTGCCGCTGTGTGAAGCACTTCTTCCATTGGGATCTCTCCTGGCTCTTCCCTGGATAGCCCTGAGTTCTAGTCTTGCCCCTTTTCTCCACTGCATCGTGTGAGACTCGTCTGCTGTGTCTCTTCTCACTTGCCCAGCAAGCAGAGGGAGGCCAGGAAGGTGCATCAAGCAGATCCTGGTAGGGAGGAAGGAGACTGGCTGGCAGTCAGGCCGGGCCATCTGAAGGCGGGTCTGGGAACAGCCTGGGAAGAGGACCTGGCTGCGTCCTCACCAGAGCTCTTTGCCCTGGATCTGATAGACCTGTTGGGGAACCGGTTTGATATAATCACCTTGCGGTTGAGGAAGGTTACACACATGCACGGCGGCAGGGATCTGGCACTCCGACCAGCCACACACAGAGGCAGCGACGTGGAAAAGCCCCACCTGTTGAATACCTGCCAGGTAGAAAAGGGTGGGAGACAGGCTTCTCTCCCTTAGAACTACGCCTGGCTTGGAGTGGCCAGGGCTCTTAGGCTCCCCCCCCCCCCCAGATCTATGTCTGTATTTTCAGTCTGACTTCTGTGGGGCTGTGTATCACCTTAATGTTTGTGGCCCATCTTGATCTCCAGGGCAGGTGAGAACAGGAACTTAATGAGAAAACAGGTATGCATCTGCAAAGGAATTAACATACATAACATACTGGTGCAGCCATTTCTGGAGTACTGGGGGGTCGGGAACTTCCCAGTTTGTTTTGGTCTCCAGCCTCTCTCGCGCCACCCCAGCCAGTAAGTAGAAATGGAGCTGTATGTTCCTTGGCAGACTTTTTCCCATAGGGAGAGCACTTGCACCCCATGCGCCTCTTGCAGGCCACCCACTCTCAGTCGCTCTCCCCTCGCCATCCTCACAGCCCCCACCTGCCGGCGGTAGAACCCTCTTACTCCTCTACAGCCTTTCCTGGCTTCCCTCAGACTCCTTCCAGGTCCACCTGTCCCACACAGAGATTCAATGCACGCTTGGCTTTGTATGGCTTCACGCTTCATGGTGGAGCTTCTTGGCTGCCCTTGGAGAAGGGCAGGTGGGGCGTTGTCAGTTGCTGTTGGGAGAGGAAGTCCCATCCCTCCCCAAATGCCCAACCCCACCCACCGTCTTCCCTGAAATCTCCCCCTTCTCTCTCTCTCTCTCTCGCAGGTTGTTGGTCTCCTGCTGCCAAATCAGACGCTGGCATCCACCGTCTTCTGGCAGGTAATGACGACTTGCTGCCTGTCATCCCTGTTCTCGAAAAGCCTCGCTTCTGTTCTTTGCCGCAGCCGAAAACACAAGCAGAATCCCGGCTTTGAGCTTCCTTTTGGCTTGTGGGATGGGGAGGCTGGAGGGAGGCCGTCGTCTTCTGTGTGGGGTGATGGGGGAACAGCCCCTTCGGCAGTGGGCTCTCTTTCAGGGAGAAAATAAGGAGAGCCCTGCTGGGTCACACCGATGTCATCTCATCCCGCCTCCTGTTCTCACAGTGCCCACAAGATGCCCATTAAAGGAAACCCACACGCAGGACCCAAGCGCAAGGGCATCTTCCCCTCCTGGCTGCTTCTAGCGACTGGTACTCAGAAGCATTGCTCACCTGCTCTCACACCTGAGGTCGGTTGTGGGGCAGCACAGCCTGCAGCTGCAAAGGAAGGCTAGGGAGCCCTACAAGTCTATGATTCTGTACAGTTGATTTGGGTATGTTTAGCCTGGAAAAGAGGAGACCCAGAGGAGATATGACGGCCGTCTTCAAATATCTCAAGGGCTGCCCCCTGGAAGATGGAGCAAGCTTGCTTTCACCTGCTCCGAAGGGTAGGACTCGAACCCATGGCTTCAAGTTACAAGAAAGGAGATTCCGACGAAACATTAGGAAGAATTTTCCACTTGACCACAGAATGGCTGACCTCAAAGGGGGTGGACTCTTCTTCCTTGGAGGCTTTTAAGCAGAGGCTGGGTGGTCATTTGTCAGAGATGCTTTAGCTGAAATTCCTGCATTGCAGGGGGTGGACTAGACTAGAGGACCCCCGGGTTCCCTTCCAGCTGTACAGTTCTGTGATTCTATGAGAGTGGGCTCCTGTTTGTTCCTCTGCTAACACAACCTCTGTCTGGTGCCTTTTCAGTTTGGAGCCTGTTCCTTCTGCCTCCAGGGCTTGCTTTCTCTGCTGTTCATCTCTGAGAGCAAGCCCTGCTTGGGGCAGGGAATCGGCAGTGGAACACGCTCTTTAGCTATTATAATCTTAGCAGCAGTTATAACTGGAACATTTTGAATTCTGAAAGATTTCTAGGGGCAGCAGCCACAGAACGGTTGCCCAGAGGATGAGCGGCGTAGCACACAGGAAGGAAGCCATGGGTCGCTCTCCAGGGAAAGATCAGCCCCTTTGATGCAGCCAAAATGGACCCATGCCTGCAGTGCATAGAATCCAAGTCCAAAAGAGCAGGGAGGTTGACCAAGGCTGCTCAAAGGTTATTCCCTGCCTTCCCCTGGTGTTTGCTCTCATGAATGGTCTGGGCCTTTTAGCACGGATCCTGCCCTTAGTGCCAGATTTCTGTATAGTTATGGCATGCAAGGTGGGAGAGCCCTCAGCATAAATTACATTTCTGCCTAAAGACGTGAGGATCATGAAGGAAGGGCGGGCATCTTGATGGGGGCAGGAAATCTCTTGGGACGCCTTGGGAACTCTGGAGGTTGTTCCTTGGGAGATCTTCCACAACAGAAATAAAAAAACATTGGATTTTCAATGCAAAAGATCTTTCTTAGCGCACCTGCCTGGCTGTGTCCCAACACCCTCAAAGTGTCCAAGCAGGTCTGCATTCCAGACACCTGTGGATAGCAGATAGAAGTGCTGTGTTTCCTTGCACTGGATCGAGTGTCCTGGTGATCTTCCTTTTCCTTTCAACCAGTTCCTAGTCCTCATGTTGGTGGAGATGTGCTTGGGAGTGTGTGGGCAGTGCCTTGTCAGGTGGGGAAAGTCTTAAGACCTTTTCCTCTCCGTATGAAGAGCCAGGAGCCGAGGAAATCAGACAAACAGATGCAGAATCCGGAGTACCTTTGGTGCAGAGTGTGCCTGGCCTTGGATGTTGCTGCGCTTGGCAGTGAGAGTCAAGTAAAGGTAGCAAAAGGAGCATTGCGCGTACCTTTGAGCTTTCTGCAGGAAGTCCGGAGGAAATGTGGCCTTTGCAGAGAGGGCCTCCTCTTTGGATAGCTTCTTGTTCTGCCCCCACTCTGTAAAGTTTTCCCCTCCCCTCCTTTTCGCTTTTGCTGTCATTGCCCTTCCTCTTCCTCCCCCTCCAGTTTTCTCCCCATCCTCTTCCTCCCTCCTCTCTGACTCCTCTCCTGTTTCTCCCCCTCTTCTCTCCTCTCAGCCTCATTTCCCAGGTTCTGCCCGGCAACTGGAGAGGAACAGAGAGAGAGAGAGAGAGCAGTGCAGAGCCAGTTTTTAGGGTGCAGGTTGCAGCCCAGGTCATGTCAGGGCCCCGACAGAGGTAAGCGCCACCCAGAGCAGCTCCGCAGGGGATGGAGGTGAGCCCCTGAGGCCTTGGCACCGGCAGACGCTGGGCTGCTCAGGGACACCCCCCACCCCCAAACACACCCTCCGGCACATCTTTCCTGGATGTCAAGGGGTGAGGGAAGGCCTGCCTGCCTTGTCCATTTATTTATTCCAGATACTTCTATATAACACTTAATACCAAAAAGCAGTGTAGCCTGCAAAAGAAGAGCAAATGGAAACACCAAGCAAGGTCTAAAACCACAAACCTGTCTCATCCCAAATACACCAGCGCCACCTGAATCAGTGAAATTTGGGGAAGGCAAGAACTTAGCAGCCCAGTTTGAGAACTTCTTAAAAGTCCAGTAAAGGAAGAAAGGAGCTGCCAGATGTCATTTTGAAGCTCATAGCAATGGAGGCCTAAAGGGCCACTTCCACCTTCCTCTGTGTCTCCTCTGAAGGCTCGGGGGGAAGGGAGTCAGCCAGGTATCCAGGCCCTTTGTGGTTTGGGGGCTTATATGTCCTCAATACCATCTTGAACGTGGTCCTGTATCTAACTGGCCACCAGTGCAGCTCCTCCAGTCATGGCGAAATAGGTGCTTAGCACCACAGCCTGCTGAGTTCTGCACTGGCTGCACCTTCTGGGCCAAGCATGAGGGCAGCCACGCATCATGCGCATTGTGCCATCTGGTTGTGAGTTGGTAGGCGCATGAACTGCAGTGGCCAGACTGTCCCTGTCCAGAAAAAGAAGATGTATCAGGCGGGGATTCCTGTGTGCCAGCGAGGGAGTAGATAATCCTGAGCTGGATGAGACCCTGTTCCGATTCTGGGGGAGAAGGCAGCTTCTGAGATGGCAGGGGTTCCTCTTCAGGTGAATGTGAGGACAGGGGGCCTTATTGGAGCCCCCGACAGCCACAGTGGGCAAATCTGTTTACTGCAGGAGCCCCAAGCTACTCTGTGGCCATGCAGCAGCCCCCTCCCCATTTTCCCAGCACAGGAACTCGGTTGGGAAAGACTGCTGCCCCTGGGCTGGAGCAGCTCTGGGCTCGTGGGGTCTGAGTTAGCAAGAGAGGTTCCAGAGTGTGCGCTTTGGGTGTGTGTGTGTGTGCGCATGCGAGAGAACAAGGGAGAGAGTGCTGTATCTGTCAAAGGTGCCCCTCTCTGCAGGGCTTGTTCTTTCACGGATACATAACACCATTGTCTGGATTTGATAACAAAAACTTCCCTTCCCAGCGGTAGCCATAATTGGAAATGCTGCCTTCCTGCATGTTTGCTATAACTCCTTCTTTTCAGCAATTGTGCTGCTGTTGCCTGCCCACCCGCCCTCTCTCTCGTTCTCTCTCTCTTTTAACCAGCTGTTTGTTCCTGTTTCTTTCTGTTTTCTCCTTTAGTGGTTGAATCAGAGCCACAATGCCTGTGTCAACTATGCAAACCGAAATGCGACAAAGGTGAGCGGTCGTTTTACGTGTGCGCCATTTTCAAGGAAGCTGATGTAAGTTTCTCCCCTGGAAAGCGCTTGGCCTGCTCCTCTGGCCCCCACCTGATCCCCCTGGCCGGGGGCCTACAGCCAGCCGAAGGATCCTGGATCTGAGCATCAGCTCCCAGAGATCTTCCCGAGGAGATTCCGCTGCCCTGGGCTGTCGTGATTGACAGGAGGCTCAGTTGCCGTGGATTGGATGAAACAGCTCAGGGATGGCGCAGGGGCAGAGCCAAGCCACTTACGCCATCCCTGAGACCTGCAATGTATTGCCTTGTTATATCTTTCAGTTCTGTTCATTTCCTCTTATCCTGTTTGTGGGCCCCATTGGCTTTTGTGCTCTTATGGGGACCCCTTCCGTGGTGCTTCTGCAGTGTGCGCACAGGTCGGAACAGGTGGGGCACAAGTTCCCCATGTCTCCAGGGGCACCAGTGCAGAGGGGCACTCCCCGTGGCTCAGGCACAGTCCCATCTCTTCCCTCAATCTACACACACACAGCCATGCCCAGAGCATGCCTGGAGGACGCCACCTTCTTCCTCTTGTTTGAATTTTATTGTTATTCATGTTTTTATACTGTATGTTATGCTGCTTTTACAATTAAGTAAAACACAGTTGTTAGCCGCCCTGAGCCCGGTTTTTGAACAAGGAAGGGCGGGGTATAAATAAAAAAATATTATTATTGTTGTTGTTGTTTGCAGTCCCTGTGAGCTGGGCTTGAGGTGGCATGTTCTGGCTGACACGCTGCTTTTGTTCTTCTTCCTGCAGCCTTCTCCAGCATCCAAGTTCATCCAGGGCTACTTGGGAGCTGTCATAAGTGCTGTCTCGATCGCAGTGGGTAACCCTTTCGTCTTCTCTCTGTCGGTGTGCTGGGCACCTGGGCAAAGACCTAGCTCTGGGCGCAGCCCTTCTGGATGGCTTCCTCTGCCGGCTGGCGCACTGTGCCTTTGCACCTGGCGCCTCGCAGGAGGCACTGCCAGCCGTGGCTGCGCCCTGGTCGCTTGCCAAGGCCTCCCCATTGCTAGGGCTACTCATTATTCAGTTCCTTTGCACTGCTGGCTCTCAATGGGTGAGAAGAGTCTTGCCCTGGAGAACAGGGTATGTGCTTATGTTCCTCAAACAGGTGTTTATGCCACACCTTTTGTTCGAAAGAGGAAGATGTTGGGGGCTGGAAGAGAGAGAGAATGGCCTGCTTCTTTCTTCCCCAGATTCAGAGGCCTTAGGCCTCATTAAATGCACTCTGATGTCAATTAGCAGCAAATCACCTCCTAGGGTGATCCCATTAGGACTAGATGACCTGAAAACAAGCGCCATTCCCCACCTCCCAGTGGTCTGCAAAAGATCTTGTATTAATTAAAACCAGGTCTCCCCCGCCCCCCCCCCCCGCAAGTGCACAGCCTGCCCTGGGCGGCAGACAGAATGCAGGGGTCCACTGGTGTCAGAAGAGGGCCTGGAGGGCCAAAGAGCAGCTCTGAGATGGGTTTCCAGGTCATGGTTCTTGCACAGAAGTCAAGAGCGGCAGCTGCAAACGTCATTCACAACAATAAGCAGTTTAGAAAAGTCAAGAAGCGTCCAAGATCCATGCATAGGGGGCTTGTGAGGCAGCTGGATAAGGAGGTGAGGATTCTGTAGCACAGCCTTCCCCAACCTGGTGCCCTCCAGATGTTTTGGACTACGTCTGGGACGCATAGAAGGTGTTTATCTGGAGAGCACCTGTTTGGCAAAAGCTGCTGTAGCCCATATGCCAAATCTGTAGGGCAGGGATGGGGAACTGGATCTGGCCCACAGGACAGGCACTTCCTTCTGCCACCTCTGCAAGCTGCATGGGGGAAACTGCCATCTCTTAATCCTAGCCCCTGTCTCTGGAAAGGTGTCTCTGCTTCCTGTGGCCTCTGGCAATTCTCCTTCAGAGCCTAGCAGGCCACGTTTCTGAGTCTTCAAATACAGAGGTCAGGGTTGGCGTGGATTCAGGGAATGAGAAGGCAGTCGGAACACCTCTTGCAAAAGCCTCCCCCTCTTTCCTCCTTTTCTAGGTGGCCCCAAAGTCCGCAGCAGTGACACACCCAAGGGCCCCATGGAGGGCCGGGAGGGGGGGTGGCAGTCTGTGCAGCTGCCTTCTTCCTCACCCCCCTTCCCTGCCCCTGTTAATTCACTGCCAGGTTCTCTTCTGGGCTCCTTTTCTGCTGCCCTTAGTCCGCTGCCCCCTTCTCTCTCCCCCCCCTGGCCATTACACCCCCACAGCGACACCATTTTTCACCCTCCTGTCTAGGTGAGGGAACCCCTGTGGTTTTCCCTAATGCCTGCTCCTTCGCCTTGATAATTGTTTGCGAGGAGGAGGAGGAGGAGGAGCAGCGCACAGGGGCTGCCTTGACAGCCTGCGAATTTGCTGCGATAGCCCATAATCAGGTTGAGATGAAGAAGGAGGCCACCCACCGCCCTCGGCCCTCCTGTGGACACTTAGGAAGGAGCCCTCCTGCCTGGGGTGGACTCCGGGGGCCAGTCCTTTCAGCCCCAAGGCCCTTGGTCTGGCCGTTACACCTTTGTGATGCGAACCTCAAAACAATGGTCTCTCCTCAAGCCCTAAATCCTCCCCCTCCCCCCCCAGCACCTCAAAGTCCCCTGTGCGGGAGGAGACCCTTGTAGGCACCCCCTGCTATCCTGGTTCTGGCCTGGGAGAATAAACACACAAAGATAACGCAAGAAACTTTTGTAAAATAATTTCCATTCCTTGAATCTTGCTCCCAAGTCGAGGATCTGGGAGGCTGGATTTCAGCCCCTGTCAACATACGGATTGCTTTGTCTTAACATTAGATTGTTTTAACTGCATGTCGTTTGAACTGTGCAGATCAGCCAGAGGAGGTTGTTCATTGATTGATTAGAATGACCGATTAAAATGATTCCGTGTTAGGAGCTGGCAGGGTCACAGAAAGTAAAACCTCTGGTTGTGATCAAACTTACCCCAGCAGCAGTTGCTGGGCTTGTTTTGCTATCTATTGCTATTCTTGGTATTTTTGGTTTTAAATGTTGTATGTACATCCCCCCCCCCCTTTTTAGTGACCTTATTGTGTTTTATGTAAACTGCTTAGGGATTTTGCATATTAAGCGGTCTGTGAATATTACCGATGGTGGTGGCCTGTGGGGTTGGCTGCTCTGCCCCCCCCCCGGCTCTCCTCAATGCTTCTTTGCCCCCCTTTCCTTCTCCTGCAGGTGGGCCTTAACGTTCTGATCCAGAAAGCTAATCAGTTTACTCCGGCCACCCGGCTCCTGATCCAGAGATTTGTGCCATTCCCCGCTGTAGGTAAGTGAGTGCATACTTTCCCCTCTTTCTCTGCTTCCGTAGAGAAAATGGGCTTCCAGTACGATAATCTTTATTGTCATTGTCTCATACAGAACAACGAAATTGAAAAAATCTGCATAAGACATTCAAAAACCAACAAGCCTGCTATCCCAACCTGGTTAGCCCCCTAAAAACTCTGATACCCCATTTTTAAATACAATAAACTCCCGTAGAGATTCCTTACACTGCATTTAAAACCAGAATTGCATTTGGGTAGAAACTGTTTCTCAGGCGGCTAGTCCTAGTCTTTATAACCCTGGACCTTCTTCCAGAAGGCAGAAGCTGAAAGAGATCATTTCTGGGGTGCGCACTATCCTGTGCTATCTCTGCAGCTTTCTTATAGCTCCTGGAAGCATAGATTTGATCCAAGGTGGGAAGAGTGCACCCAATTATTTGGCCCAGAGTACAAATTTGCATATGCTAATTTATACATAAAGGTGCAAATTCTACCCGTTTTCAGAGGGAAAAGCAAAATCTGGCTTCATCTTGCTGTCGGGGCTTAATTTACCTCTGGTCGACTTAAGAAGATGGAAGAGCCAGAACTCCTAGCTCCATAGGAAAGGGCTCACTCAAATTAACAAAAATAAATATAGCAAAAGAAGAGCTTTCTTTGAGCTTTTCCCTGCATCTGTTTGGGTTATCGGTATTGGTTATTGGTTTATTTTATGAAAAACAGGAATAAAAAAAAGCTACCGTATTTTTCGCTCTATAGGACGCACTTTTTCCCCTTCAAAAATGAAGGGGAAATGTGTGTGCGTCCTATGGAGCGAAGACGCCATAGCCCTGCGACCCTCTCCCGGCTGGAGAAGTGACGCGCGCCTATGGCAGGAGCCTCCATAGGCGCGCGTCACCTCTCCAGCCGGGAGAGCGCGCGCGGGGCTAAAGAAGCCATAGCCCCGCGACCCTCTCCCAGCTGGAGAAGTGACGCGTGACTATGGCAGGAGCCTCTCTGCTGCGCCTTTCTGCTGCTCCCTGACCTGCTCTTTGGGGCTGGTGGTGGGCTTCCCCCCGCCAGCCCCAAAGAGCAGGTCGAAAGGAACCTGAAGCCTGGAGAGCGAGAGGGGTTGGTGCGCACCGACCCCTCTCGCTCTCCAGGCTTCCAAGGTAGCCGCCTGAACGCACCTTAAACGCACCTTGTTTTAGAGCGGGAAAACAAGAGGGGGAAAATTCTCCCACTCTCTGTGCAGCGCCTCCTGCCGCTTCACTGAAGGGGCGCTGGGCAGAGAGCGGAAGAATTTTTTCCCCTTGTTCTCCCCCCTCTAAAACAAGGTGCGTCCTATTGTCCGGTGCGTCCTATGGTGCGAAAAATACGGTATTTTAAAAATACAGTGTGTGGCTGGGGTTTCATGGGTGCTGCCCGCCAGCCCTGATGGCAAAGGAAAACAAATTGAATTATGTGGCTTTGAAAGGGAATTGGACCGATTCACGGTGGATGAGGCTGTGCTGTGTCGCAGGCAGCCTTTCTCTAAGTGCCAGCCAGCGGCTGGAGAGTGCCAGTGGGAGGGAGTTGTGGCTGTGGGGCTCAGGCCCAACTTATGGGCTCTTCCTGCTGGGGCATCTGGTTGTCCCCTGCAGAAAATAGGGTGCTGAACGCCAGGTAGGTCCCCTTGGGCCCTGCTCCACCTGCAGCTGGGCTCTTTAGCATGCGCTTACGTAAGAAAGAGTCATCCTTGTTGCAACTCAGGATGTCCCAGACTGTTGGGGTACAGGGGGTGCTGGTGAGGATTCTATAGTTGTATGCAGGAGGCAGGCAGGGGGAGAGGGATGCTTACCTGAACCAGGTGTGTCTCTGCACCCCTTTGCACCTGGGAGGTGGATGGGGAAAGGTGGCCTCTTTGTTCTCTGTACATGGCACTTTGAGCAGGAGGAGGAGGAAGAAGAAAAGGAGGAACGACCTTCCTTGTGTTGCGGGAATTTTTCGATCAGATGTGCCCCTTGTGAGCTGTTCATCAAGAGATCAGCAGCACCAACAAGAAAATGTTTCAGATCGTGGACTAAGCCCCCTGGCCCCAGCCGCCTGGGCAAGGGGGGATCTCTGTCAGGTTGTTCTATTATTATGCCAAGGTGTTAAGAGAAGGAGCTTAAACTGGAGTCAGAATTGATTGAGGGCCGGCAATTAATTTGCTCAGCCCTTCATTAGTTCTCTGCTTCTTTTATTTGTGTACTGACATGCTGAATGGTGTGCCAGGACTCTGGCCATCTTCCTGCTAATTGCCGCTTTGTTATTCTGGGGCCGGAATCTCATTGCATCAGAATCCGGGCAAACCAGTAATTAAACTTCCTATGAAAAGATCGGCTTTGAAGATTGGCCTGAAATGCCTGCCCGACTCAGCCTGGGCTAGGCGGAAGCCAGGCCAAGGCAAGAGGTAGTCGGAGGGACTAGTCTGGTCCGCTGGTCACAAAGTTCTCCCCTAACCCGTTTAGTCGGAAGAACAGACTGATGCTAAGAGCTAATTTCTCCAGACGAAGATTCATTGCGTTGCAGGAGGTTGGACTGGATTACCCCTTGGGGGCCCTTCCAACCCTACATGTATGGCTCTATAAATCGAAATTTGATTGTTAGAAGGCTGTATTATATTTACCTGTTTGTTAGCCGCTCTGAGCCCTGGCTTCGGCTGGGGAGGGGCGGGGATATAGCGTATCTTTTTCGCCCTATAGGACGCACTTTTCCCCTACCATAAAAATGAAGGGGAAATGTGTGTGCGTCCTATGGGGGCGAATGCAGGCTTTCGCTGAAGCCTAGAGAGCGAGAGGGGTCGGTGCGCACCGACTCCTCTCGCTCTCCAGGCTTCAGGAAGCTCTCTGTAAGCCGTGGGAGCCCGGCGTGAAGTCGCGCCGGTCTCCCAAGGCTTCCAGAGAGCTGCCTGCATCCCAAAGCCCGGGACGCGCTGAGAAGCGCTCTAGGCTTCGGGCAGCTCTCTGCAAACCTGGGGAGACGGGCGTGACTCCCCGCCAGGCTCCCTAGGCTTGTGGATAGCAGCCTGTTCTGGGGGCTGGGGGAAGCTCGGGCTTCCCCCGCCCCAGCCCTGCGCCTGGGGGAAAATAAATTTTCCCCCTTTATTTCCCCCCCAAAAAACTAGGTGCGCCCTATGGGCTGGTGCGCCCTATGGGGCAAAAAATACGGTAAATAAAATTTTATTGTAATTATTATTATTATTATTATTATTATTATTATTATTATTATTATTACTATTCTAAGATTCTGGGGCTCCTAAATGCAGTTAGTGAGCGGGAAGAGGCTGTGGCAGAGAGCAGCCCAGAATAAGAGGCAGAAGCAGAGAAGGGTCAAGAGGCAGAGTGGAGGCAGGCTGCTGAAAAGCCAGGGGGGTCTCCTCCTGTGCGACTAGCTCTCCTCCACCCTGGTCTCCCAGAACCTGAAGCGGTATGAAGAGGGTGGAGCAAAGACCGACAAGGCGTCAGAGTCTCCGATTGCTTGGGGAGGAGAAGGCTCCTTAAGTCTCCTTCTCCTTCTGTCTGCCCCATCAGGGCAAGGTCTACTGGGAAGAGTTGCTGTGCTCAGAGCTGTTTCGTTTCTTTGAATAAAGAGTTCCCTTCATGGCACGGCCTGATCCTGACCGCCGCTTGCGCTCTCCTTTTCTTCCCCTCGCAGCCAGTGCCAATATTTGCAACGTGGTCCTGATGAGACACATGGAGCTGGAGGAGGGGATTGACGTCCTGGACAGCGATGGCAACAGGGTCGGGTCTTCCAGAATTGCTGCCAAACATGTAGGTGCCGTGGGATTCCCTTGGGTGAATCAGGATCACTTTGGCCCATGGATTCATGCACTGGGAGGGGTGGGGTAGGCCAAGAAGGATGGAGGAGGAGGAGGAATCCACAGAATGCAGATTCCAAAGCAAACTCACTTGATCTGATCCTGGCAAGCCACACCAGGACCCCACTTCAGAATCCGCAGTCCTGCAGGCCCATGATTGATTGATGGATTGATCACATTTCTGTGCTACTTTCCAGTCAGACAAATCCCAACACAGCTTACAAAACAATAAATGACAATAGCATAATAGAGCATCACAGGTACAACATAGATCATATTATGTATAATTAACAAATCAATAAAACATAATAAAACAGTATTTACAAAACAGCAACTTAAAAATATGCTAAATGCTATTATGTTCATGTGCATGCACACAGAGTCACACTTCCCCCCCCCAAGTAGCTCAAAATTGATCAGTCTGTTCAGTCCGTTAAAAGACCCCTGCGCATCCATGGTCCAGAAGGACTCTGATCCAGTGGAAATAACAGAGCTAGACGTTGACTTACTATGCAGTGGTCCAAGGGCCCAATCGCTGCCTCTTCCCTTCTTAAAACTCTCTCTCTCCACACACACTTTTAGAAGGATCCGAAAATCACCCAGCCTCTCTGCCTGGGAGTGTTTAGCAGGCAAATCTTCCTGTCACCAGGTTTTATTTATTATTTATTTGAATCCACACACACGTGAACACGCACCCCGTTCTCCAGGCAGCCATGTTTCTTGCCCACCCACCGCCTGGTACAATTCCCTCTGAGAGCGAGGGGACATCAGCAGGTCCTGTCGCTCCCAGGGAAGGGGCCTGCGAGCAGCTGGAGGTTTCTACGGTACTTATTTATTAAAAAATATTTCTATACCACTTTTTCATAGTGGGGTTATTGGTTTGCCCCCCCCCTTGTTTTTATTATGTATTTTGGGGGGTGTGTGTGTTCCTTGTATTTTTATGCTGTGAACTGCCCTGAGATGGAGGGTGGTTTACTTACTTACTTACTTACTTACTTACTTACTTACTTAAATAAATAAATAAATAATATCAAAGTGATTTAGAGTAAGGCATAAAGCCATATAATAAAAACCATAAAAAACTAAAGCCAGACATCAGTTGGCCTCTGGGGAAGGATGTATTCATGACCTGCATAGGCCTAGCAGAATGGAAATGTTTTCAGCTGGCATTTAAAAGTCTACACAAAAGGTGCCAGCTGACTCTCTAGTGGCAGGGAGTTCCACAGGCCAAGGCTCCATGCTTTGTTGTTGTCCGGCGGACCTGGCCAGCCTTTACACGTGAGGCTCCCCCTGCCTGCAGAGGGTGTCAGGCGGCAGGTCGAAAGGGCAGCATGCGGGAGCTTTCCTTTTGCTCCCCCCCCCCCACGCATTCTAGCCAGACAGAAAGAAGAGAGTCTTTTCTGACCCATGCGCCGTTGCCCCCGCAGCCCCCTCTGGTGGGCCTGTGCAGCCAGAGCAGCGACGGAGGAGCAAAGCGCTCTTGTCTCTGCGCTTAGGAAGAGGGAACTCGTCTCGGGGTCTCCGGAGAGGCAGAGCAGCCGCTCTCAGTGCTTCCAGATGCCCCTTTTGCTCCCCTCTGTAGTTGCCCAGGAAGAGCAGGAGAACCTCAACTACAGCTCCAGGCTGGCAGAGAAAACACACAGCTTTATTTTTAATTTTTAAAAAAGTGAGTGGGAGGAAACTGCAGGACTTTTTAACCCCCGCCTTCCTGGAATTCATTAGCAACCGCCTCTGGAAAGATGCGCCAGCTGTTTCCAGGCTGCCTCCAACACCTGGCTGGTTTCCTTAGGAGCCTCCTGAACTCCGCCATCTGCGCACAACTGCGCTGGGACTTTCCCTGTCTTCTTTTCCTTAGCGCTTCTGCATCCTCAGCTCGTTCCTGAGAAAACCCACATGAAGCACAGGCGCTTTGGACTGACTTTGCCAAGGGTAGTAGTAATAATAATAATAATATACAGACATACCTCAGGGTGAATATGCTTCAGCTTAAATATTTTCGGGTTGCGCTCCGTGGCGACCCGGAAGTAACGAAGTGCGTTACTTCTGGGTTTTGCCGCATGCGCAGATGCTCAAAATGATGTCACGCGCATTCACGGATGCAGCGAAACGCGACCCGCACATGCGCAGACATGCAGTTGCGTCTTAACGTTCACTTCAGGATGCGAACGGGGCTCTGGAATGGATCCCGTTCGCATCCAGAGGTACCATTATGCCACTCATCTGAATAATCAGTTAGATGGGTGGCATATAAATTATTATTATTATTATTATTATTATTATTATTATTATTATTATTATTATATATTTGCCATTGTGTTGGGTGGAGGGTCTGAGCCCGAAATAATCCTCTTCCGGCACCTTTTGCCTGAGCAGAGGACTGACACCTGTCCAAGGAGAATCCACACAATCTCTTTCAATTAGCCATGCTTGAAGAAGTCGTGTGACTGCCACGCAGGCCTCCTGCTGCCCCAAACCGCAGCCTTCCAAGGCTGCTTTTTATTTTTATAAGTGCTGGGCTTTGCTGCGTGTGATGCTGAGTTTACTGCTCACTCGCTGGTGCTGCCTGAAGCCATCTGTTTGCCAGGCACCATAGTGGGTTTCACTTTTGCTCAGTCCTGCCTTTCTTGAACTTTGGCGAGGAGGGGGCAGGAGGGGGATCCTGCTGTGGACCCAGGTGGAAGTGGGATAGGATGCTCTGTCCCCCTCACTCACCCAGCCTTCTGTTTCTGTAGCGTGAGACCAGGACTGAGCTGCCACCAGGGTTGAGGGTGGCCATTGGCAGCCCTGGCCCCTGGAGCAATAAAACACACGCCAAGCCCCCACAAAGGGTAGCAGCTTGAGAAGCTTCGGGGCGAAGGCTCTACGGAGTTTGGGTTGCAGCCTGAGCAAGTTTGATGCTCAAGTGCCCACACAGGTGGCAGAACTGGCTCTGTTACAGGTGCCACAAAATATTGTTGTTGGCATCTGTCTATCTCGAGAGACAATGGAGTTCGCCTCCTGGGGTGAAGTCAAACGGCCCCGTTAGCACACGCCAGGGCAGCGTGTCTCTTGCCCAAAACCAAAAAACATGATTTTAGTATTGTATGTATGATGTGAAGACTATATTTAAAGAAACAGACATTTGGTGGAATATAAATGTCTTGTTCTTCTGTTTTGTCTTTGGGAAGTTCTGTAGAATTGCATACAGAATTGTGTGTGATGAGTTTCTGTATTATTATGCTGTATTATTTTACTGTTCTTAGCCGCTCTGAGCCTGGCTTTGGCTGGAGAGGGCGGGATATCAATATTATTTTATTATTATTATTATTATTCTACTTCAGTCTGTGCTCGAAGTGACTGTTTCTCTTTCTCCTGGTCCCCTTTCCTCCCCCGCAGGCACTGCTAGAGACGGCCCTGACCAGAGTGGTCTTGCCAATGCCTATACTGGTTCTACCTCCAATCATCATGTCTCTACTGGAAAAGTAAGTGGCGGCCGTCTGGGGTGGGCGAAGGGCGATGTTCAGAAAGGAAGGAGGGAAGGAACTGCCCTCCCCTACATGGCTGGGATCAGAGGAGTGGTGGCATTGCCCCTAAGAGCAAAGGGCACTCTAGAACCATGTGAAGGGACCCCCAAGGGACATCTAGTCCAACCCCCTGCAATACAGGAATTGCCCCTTTCCCTGGGATGGCTGCAGCCGCTGCCCCACAGAGCCCTTTCCAGGGCCTTGCCACAGAGCAGCCCATTTCGTTCTTGATCATTGAATTGTAGAGGTGGAAGAGACCCCTCAGGATCATCTAGTCCAACCCCCTGTGCAGTGCAGGAATCACTGTTTGACAGCCCCAACAGACGGCCACCCAACCTCTTGAGAACCTCCAAGGATGGAGACTCTGCCACCTTCCGAGGGACATCAAAGCTCCCTGCTGTTGAGGCTGAGCGAGCGCTTGGATCAGGGCCTCCCAAGGAGGGAATGGCTAGGAAGGGGAGTGAACCCAGAACCATGGCAGCTTTTAGGTCCTGCAGCGGCCTTTCCCAGCCTGCTGCCCTCCAGAAACTGGGGACTCCATCTCCCCCAGCCCTTCTTTCCCCAGGGTCTTTCTGCCTGGAGTGGGGTCTTTCTGGACCCTCCTTTGCCCGGCCACGTCTTGCTCCGGCAAGCCTGTGCCAGCCAGCCACGGAAGGCCCAAGGTCCCCTTGCGCTATTCTTTGACAGGCAACATGGAAGGTGACGCGTTTTGAAAGTAAATTATCATTGCAAATAGTTCCATCATTTTGAAGCAAGTATTAATTAAACCTCCTTAATTAGCTGACTGATTGAAATCTGAAATGGGCAGAGAGCCAGGAGATGGCTTCTGAAGCAAGGAGTCATCCACTGCAGAAACTGCACCTAATGGATGAGCTGGAAGTGCCCCCCCCACGTTCCAGGTGTGGTTAAACTGGAGTGAGAGAGAAGTGCGCTCTTGGCAGTGCCCAGAGGCACTCTTCACATGCACAGGGGCTGAGACCCAGCGTTCTAGGATTTGCCCTGAAAAAGAAGCACGTTTCGCTTTTTTGGTTAATTAACAAAATTTATGCCTAATCCCCACCCCCTGCAAAAAAAACCGCACCCCAAAGTGGGTTATATAAATAATAGAGAACATTCCTAAGAAAATGCAAGTAAAATCAACCAGACTCTTACAAACAACTTTGGAGAATCTGTGGTGAGGCGCAGCTGCTACAAGTGGATCTGCTGGACCAGGCCAGTGGTCCGTCTGGTCCAGGATCCTATTCTCCCAGTGGCTGACCAGTTGCCCCAGTGGAAAACCTGCAAGCAGGACTGGAGCGCAAGAGCAACTCTGGCCTCCTGGGGTTTCCAGAAACTGGAGCAGCTCCCATTTCTCAGCTCTTGGGGGCTGCTGTGATCTTCCTTCCTGGATTTAAGATCAGCACAGATCCTGGTGATCCTTGCAGTGGTGAAGGTGGTGGGGTCTCTGCTTGGACCCAGCAGCCCCTCCCTCCTTCCAGGCCCCCTCCCTTTACCTCTCTCCATCTGGAGGCGTCCAAGGCCTCCTCCGTCTCTCCCAGGCTTCTTGGCGTCCCTCCTCCTTTTCCCCTCCCGCTGCGCATTTCAGCTCCCGGAGATGCTGTTCCTTGTTCTCCAGACTCCTGCATGTTGTTCCCACTGGCGGGCTTCTCTCCTGCGGCTCGGACACTCCAGGGAAGCTCCCAGCCCAGCCAGGCAACGTCTATTTTGAGCTGCCGGCTTGGCGCAAGGACTGCGCCTGGCGATGCTCAAGCTGCAAGGCCACAACCTTCCCTGCAAGCCCCGTCCGTTGACGCTTGCGTAGAAATCAGGAGGCTCCTATTTGAGGAAGCCACCACATCACGTGTGGGGAGTCCAGGTCCAGGACATAAGGGGGAAATCGGCCTCATGGATCTCCCTGTGAACGGTTCCAAGATCAAAGAATAGGAGAGTGGAGAGGGACCCCGAGGGTCATCCAGTCCAACCCCCTGCAAGGCAGGGATCACAGCTGAAGAATCCCTGGCCACCCAACCACCATTTAAAAACCTCCAAGGAAGGAGAGCCCTCTTCCTTCCAAGGGAATCTGTTCCACTGCAAGTAAATGCAGAATAAGATGAAGCATTTCCATCTTGAAGAAGTCTGTGCTTATTCACTAGCTGCAGCCCTCCATCTCAAGAGGAGTTTCTGGTGGGGAACCTCAGGCCTGGGGGCCAAATCCGGACTGCCATCCCCTCTGTCTGGCCCTCAGCACTCTCCCCCGGCCACATCCTTCCCCATGCCACCCCCAAGTGTTTCTGCCTGGCTGGAATGTGTCCCTGAACACTGCTTGGGCCTCAGGACGGAGGACAGAAGCTTACTTGATTCTTCGCAGGTGAAGCCTAATTCATTGCTCCTCCCACTTCTGCCTCTCGTCCCGCCCACCACTGGCATGCCAAGGTTGTCCAGAAGGGAATGTGGGCTCAAAAGCTCTCTTGCCCCCCTCCCAGGAATTTAATCCCAAGGAGTCCTGTGCGGTTTGGGGTATGTGTGTGTACCCCAACTTCTTCCTGATGCCACGGGGTTTAGACCCCTGTGCCGTTTCTGTGTTCTGGATGACTTCCTGTGCTCCTTGCTGGCAGCCTGTGATTCCTGCACTGCAGTCGGATTTAGCTAGATGGCTCCTTGGGTCTCTTCCACCTCAGTAATTCTGTGATTCCAGCCCTGCAGCAGCTGCTTCTGTCCACACAGGTCTTTGCCGGCTCTCCAGCCAGCGGTCTGTGGGGAAGGTCCACCTGGTGCCCTGTGCCCTCTCGCCCACCCTGCCCCTTTGCCAGCTTCCCCCCGCCTCGGAATCGAGGCATCGGTGGCAGCTCTGTTTAATATAAACATGACACTTTCCCGCCCCGCCCCGAATCTGTCAGTTTGGGAGCCTTCGGTTAGCTCCTGTCATATTTAGTTTAGCATCTCACACCTTCTCGGAGGCAAGCGCCATTCTGGAGCACGAAACCCGATAACTCCTTCGGAGTTCCGAGAGCAACTTCCATATGGAAGACTTTGCAGAGCCCCCTGAAAACGCCGGCAGCCAGCTGCCACGTTATGCAAAATGTGAACCACAATTGGCGACGTGCTGAAAGTTGAATGAAGGTGTATTTGCAAGATCTGCGACGCGCTGTGTCTGCGGAGCAGGTGCACTGTCTGCATAACTTTTTGTATGTGTGTCATCGTAGAGGAAGCAGAGACTAGGAGGCCTTCCGATTTTAGACTCGCTTTCCACCGACAGCAGTCTTAGGTCTTGTCAGGACCTGCAGCAAGGGCCAAAGCCTGGCAGGAGCAAGCCTTCGAGGCAGCGGTGCTGAGGGTCAGAGGGGGAATCACTAGCCGCTGGGAGCACTTGCAAGAAAACAGGTGCTCAGAGCAGCGCAGACACCAGCAAAGGGTTTCTGGATGGGTGGATTGAGTTAATCCAAGGCAGTTAAAATCAGCCAAGGAAAAAAGGAGATTTAATTTTTTTAAAAATAATGTTTATTACTTTTACAACAATTTAAACAAAAAAAGGAAAAACACAGAAAAAACAATACATTACAATACAAAGAAACACTAAAACATTAAACTAACAAGACAAAACAAAAACAGTTTAAAAACACATCAAAGCAAAAAAGAAAAAAGAGGGAAAAAAGAATTTTTTTTCAATATCTTATCTTTCTTTCTTTCACATATTTCCATGACCTCCTCACACCTCCCTTTTTGTATTCCACATCTATTAATTATTTCAGCAATTCCTTTCCATCTTCCCCTGTTTTCTATCCTATAATTATCTTAACACATTTTAACCTTATTTTTCCTTTAATACTCTATAAATCTATTTATACTTACGGTAATTCCTTATAACATTTCTACTAAAGCCATATCACTTCATTCCAACATTCTTCTAACATTCATTAATTTTACAATGTTTCTGTAGATAATCTTTAAACTTCTTCCAGTCTTCTTCCACCGACTCTTCTCCCTGGTCTCAGATTCTGCCAGTCCTTTCCGCCAAAGGGAGATTTAAACCCAGGTTCCCACCAGTGCTACATCACATATTCCCCAAACAATGGTGCACATATGAGCACCATAACCATGTGAATCTACAAAAAAAAGGAGAGCATTATTTACACTGCTGCTTTGTTCTTACAACCAGACGTTGCATCTCTTTGTTCTACCCATTGATGGAGTTTAGGAAAACTAAGAATATAAGGATAGCCTTCTGGATCAGGCCAGTGGCCCATCTAGTCCAGCGTCCTCTTCTCACAGGGGCCAACCAGATGTCCCTATGGGAAATCCCACAGGCAGGATCCGAGTGCAAGAGCAGCCCTCTCCCCTCCAGCCTTTTCCAGATATTCGGAAGCATTGTTGCCTCTCGGCTGTGCAGGCAGAGCATCCCTCTCCCCTGTGAATACTCTCTCTTGAATCTGCATGATTCCCCCACCCAGGAACCACCACCGAGTAAAAGCTCCTGTTTCATGCGTGGTCAAAGTCACAGGTCTGCCAGCACTGTCACTGCTCCAAAGATCCCTGTGGATCTTGGTGGTTTTTAAATGACATGCCAACAAAACAACAAATCACAGTGTGCCTCTGTGAACACAGAGGTGGCCTGTGATTTGATTACAGTTTTCAGGGGAATCCATTGCCACAATCGGGATCTTTAAGGATCCATGTGGTTGTGCCATGGGGTGAGCTATGTGTGTGCCAAACTCTGTTATTTTTACTGACCCTAGTTACCGATGAAAACTTTAACTTTAGTGGTAGTCTTTGGGGATCCCATATAAAAACCGTGCACATTCAAGAGGACCAGTTGTTGTGTTTTTTAACTGGATCTGACTTCTGACTTCTTGTCACATTGCTGCTTCCCCATGGCAGCCATATTTGTGGCAGTGCCCACAAGACTTTTCAAAGTGTCAGATATGCCCACAGGCTCAAAAAAGCAAAAAGGGGAAACAGAGATGTTGGGCAAACCTTGGGGGAAAGGTGGCCACACTGGGATCTCCTCCTCTTCCTCCTCCTCCTCCTCCTCCTCCTCCTCCGCTACCAGATCTAGGCAGAGTCTCAAAGGAGGCTGATCTCGTCCATTTGCCATCCTGGATGCTACTGCCTTTGCAGTTCTGCAACTTCTCCTGTATTTCCACCAGAGAAATGGTGGCACCCAGATCTGTGCTCTGCATCCAAGCTGCCGGACTTTTCCTAACTCTTAAAGCATCAAATTCACTGGGGGTGCCTCTGCTAACAAGGCAGCGGCCGCATCCCAGAGGCAACAAGTGTGGGGAGGCTGTTCCCCCGAAGGACGCAGCCTTGCTCCGCTTCCCCTCTGGGGCGGCCGTTTGGGGCTTGCTGCAGCCGGGAGAGCCGAGATCTGAGGGCCGGGAGCGGGCGGCCCTGGCGGTTAATTGTGAGTCATTTAGGCTGAACTTTACAAATGGTAGGATCTGAGTTCCCAATTAAGACATTGCACTTCATGTGTTAATTAAGGCTTTTTCTTTAAATCAGGCCACAACTCCTCTTAATTAGGAGGCTATAGCCATTGTAATTTGAACTGGTCTGAGTTTAAAAACACCCATGGCGGAAGTCGCACCTGGGAGCCGCAGCCAGCGAACACTCTAAATTGGTTTCGTTCCCTGGCAGTGATTATGAGGAGCCCAGCAGGGCCGTAATTAGAAGGGTGCAGCCTCTGGAGGGGGGGCAGGAGGGGGCTGAGCCAGGAGCGGGCGCTGCCATGGCTCCCAGTGAGGTGGCACGGGCCAGTTTCTCAGCACCAGAGCATGCTTTGAGCACATGGAAAGTGCTTCTTCAGGCTTTGAGCCCAAGGAAGTCCTGCTTTGCACAGCACATGAACTATGGAACTCGCTGCCGCAGGAAGCAGTGGTGGCTTCAGAAGAGGAATAGACAAATTCCTGGAGGAGAGGGCCATCAATGGCTGCCAGCCAGAGTGGCCATGCTCTGCTTCCACATTCGGAGGCAGCCATGCTTCTGATTATCAGTTGCTGGAAACCGCAGGCGGGGAGAGGGCTCTTGTGTTCAAATCCTGGCTGCAGATTTCCCACAGCCACTGTGGGAACAGGATGCTGGCCTAGAGGGGCTGCTGGCCTGATCCTGCTAGCTCTCCTTAGGTTCTTTAAGCACCAGCTCTGGCGCATTGTGGAGGCCCAGATCCACAGCTGTCTCTGGTGCTGCTTGGGGAGCTGGTATTCTTAGCAATGCTTGACATTGCTGAGGGGGACCCTATCATAGAGCCCGTGTGACCTAGTGGCTAGAGTGTTAGACTAGGAGCTGGAAGAGATTTGGAAGGTTCAAACCCTCCCTCGGCCATGAAGCCCGACCTTGGACCAGTCGCTGCCTCTCAGCCTGGCCAGCCTCCTCCTCATATAACCTCACAAAACTATGAAGGCCAAGGTCATCCATGACAAGGGCACCGGCAAGACCCAACAGCTGGGGCTTTGTCAGGTTCAAGGTTGTTGTGGGGGTTAAATGGGGAGGAGGAGAACCATGTACGTAATTTTGAGCTCCCTGGAGAAAATTTGGTCTATAGATTGGGGGCAGGGGGATGTACCTTAGCTAACTTAACGAACAGGGAGGGCAAGGAGATGGGCAAATTCTAGATGTGCAACAGGAACAGAGGGGTCGACTCCAGCCCGCTTGGTGCCATTCACACAGCCCCATGGATTCTCTTTTCAAAGCACAGGCAAACTGTGGATGCAAGTTGGGTTTAGCTAGCCACCAGGAGATGGCAGGTTGGGCTGCAAAGCAGAGAGGCTGTCACAGGGATCTCTTGGGCAGGTGCCACGCTCTGCCTGCCCAGCCCCACGTGCTGTCACAGACTGGCTGGGCAAAGAGGAGTGGTGGAAGGCGCACCAGCCGGGGAACACCCATGGGAACTCCCGGAGGAAGACAACTCAGTGTCAGCATCGCCCTTGAGCCAGTGTCACCAACTGGACTCATCCACTTCAACCCCGACTGGGCCAGGCGAGCTGGGTAGCACTTCCAGAGACCACCTTCTGAATAGGAACAAGTCAAAGTGCTGTGGACTCACAGCTTAGAGTTGTGAGCACCGGATTCACTCCAACAAGAAGACAGTCGTCGCACAGCAGAGTATAGCAGAGTACAGCAGAGCATAAACGACTCAGAGAGCAGCTCTGTAGAATATCTTCTTTATTCTATAACTACAACTATAATACACAGCTATATACAGAGCTAAATAGGTCTAAGCATAAATGAATGCTGAACTGCACTGAGTGTCTGCAGCTGCTCTTAGCAGCAACCTTATCTATACACACGATCTCTAACAGTCTCTCTCTCTCTCCAATACTGACTGACGGACTCTTTGATGTGGTGCTGGAGCAGAATAAGTAGAGAGAGCAGAACACCGCCCCCTCCTCTCTGGAAAATCACCAGACTCATCAGGAGATTCTTGGATATGGGAGGGGTGAAATCTCCTCACTCAGAGCCAGGGGACTGGTGGTGGGAAGCAGAGGAGAGGTCAGAGGGAGAAGATAAGGAGGAGGTGCCGGATGCTGAAGGGGCAACAGGGTTTAGTGAGAAGGAAGAGCCCGTGACAGGGAGCGGTTCAGACGCCGAGGCTGAAGCAGAGGAGCAGAGTCCAGAGACTGCTGTAGAATCCAAGGAGTCTCTCTCTCCGGCCGCAACAAGCTCCCATCTCCTCTGGTCTCCAAGAACTCACAGGGTAATGAGAAGAGCAGAACAGAGACCAGAGGTGCGCAGGCACAGTTTGAGACTGCTTGGGAAACATCCAGGAGAGGAGGAGCCCTAGAGAGGGTGGAAGACAGGGACCTTCAGCCCCAGCAACTGCCCTTAAGGGCAAGACCTGCTGGAAAGCATGCTGAGACCACTAGGCTGAGTTGTCTGTTTGGTTTCTTGAATCAAGAGTTAACTTCACTGACAGCAGAGATCTGCTTCCTTTCTTGCTGACCTGCATCTCACTCCAGCTCCGCATGGCCATGGGGCCAGCTGACATGCCCTTCAGTGGCCCAGGGAGCTGGGGAGGAGGAATTGTGGGGTGAAAGGTGCGCAGAGTCCCGGGAGACATGCAGTGGGAAGAAAGTCTGCCAGTGGCCTCCAGCCACGAGGGCAACCCTCTCCTTCCACTGCTGGAGGAGGTAGGATGCCTCTGAGCCCCACTTGGCTGGGGGTCAGGTGTGGGCTTGGGGGTCATCTGGCTGGCCAGCTTGAGAACAGGGTATTGGACCCCACCTTTGGCCCCACTCACCTGCAGCCGCAAGGCTCTCCCGGCACCCTCATGTTCAGTCCATGCCTCTCTCCGCACCCACAAGCCCTCGCAATGTATACCTGAGATTCTGTGCAGCTGCGTCGATCCCACTTTGCAGGCAGGTGTTGCTGAGTCGACGCAGCGGAGGTGGTGGTGGTTGGGGGGGAAGAGGAGGGATCTCCCTGCTGCGCTTGCTGGTCTCACGACAACAGCCCTCCTTCTTGCAGAACGGCTCTCCTGCGGTCGCGGCCCCGGATGGCCCTCCCCGTGCAGAGCTTTGTGTGCCTTGCTGCCTTCGGCCTGGCGCTGCCCCTGGCCATCAGCCTCTTCCCGCAGATGTCTGAGGTCAGTGTCACAACCGCCTCCCTCCTCGCGACGGGCGGATGGGCGGAAGGGAGCAGGCTGGGGTGGAAGGACCTGTTCTCTGTGGAGGCACTCTGCATGTGCTCGGGGGGACCTTGTGCTTTCTGATTATTTTGTGTCCTGGATCCATTGCCCTCTGCCAAGGGTCTGTTTCAGGGGTTGACAGCACAACAGCCCCCTTGAGGTTTTCCCCGGCACCCAGGAAACCTCTGAGTGCCCCCACTCCCTGCCCCCTTGGCCATAAGTTGCTGAGGGCGGCTACCTTTTTCCTCTCTTGACAAACACAAAGAGCTGAAGGAGGACACTCCTTTCCCTCTTCCCCTTTCAGCTCTTTGTGCTTTTCAAAGTTCAGATTAATACTGCTGGATCTGACATTTTCCCAGATCTTTTGGAAAATCCAACTTGGGTGTGTGTGTGTGTGTGTGGTGTGTGTGTGTGTGTGTGTCCACTTTCTCTCCTTCTGTATCTCTCTCTCTCTGTGTAGGGGTGATCTGGGGCAAGGGGGAGAGAAATGACCAGAGTGGGGGGCACCATTGGCTCCCACCCAAAAATCCAAATGTGCCCACGGGCCTTAGAAGGTTGGTGGCCTTGGACTGTTGAGTGCCTAAGGTGTGGCAAGCATTTCTCGCACTCTCTTCCTCTCGTGCCACGGTTCCACTGCCTCTCTGCACCTGTGTGATGTGGGTGCCTCGTGGGTCCCATCACAGACTCAAACTTTGCTTATGGGTGATCAAAACAAGCAGAGGGAGGGGGGCACAGAAGGAGTGCCTGCCACCCCAGCGACAGCTTTGAGACATGCCTCTCCTAAATGCCATTATTTGGGGAGACCCCCTGCCCTCTTTTAACCAGGAGCATCATGTTAGTTGACTGTAGGGTTTTAGAGGGTTGCCGAAAGGACCTGCGCAAAACACTCGGAAGACCCAGTAAGTGATGTGGGAATGCTGAGGGCGATGGTGATGATTTCCTCTGTTTGCAAGGTGCAGGCTGAATGTGGGAGAGGCTGTGGGAAGGAGCCTTGCAGAAAAACATGGCAGAAGGTGTTTCCTTGCCTATCCCTGAAGTGTGGCGCAGGCCCTCCCTCACCATTGCAGGACCCAGCCTCCAATGTACAGCAGGCACAAGCTGAGGCTGGGTGTTGGGCGTGCTGGAAAGAAGAAAGTATCTAGAAAGGCAGTGGGGAAGGAATCAGGCCCCGATGCTGCTCCCCACAGGGCATGTGTCCTCCAACCCCAACTCCATCCCCACCAAGATCTCCACAGGAGGGGGCAGGGCTGCTCTCTCCCACCTCTCTTTGCGAGTCCTTCATGGGTTGCTTTTCCGGTAATGAATGGGGTCGTTTCTGGTCACTTTGCCTACCTGGTGGTCCAGGTGATCCATTGCAGGCCCCCCCTCCACTGTCCTGCCTGGGGGGCCCCAGTCGCACCGGCTTCTGTGCTGCTGCAGCAGTGAAGACCATCTTGAGAGAAGAATGTTCCACGAAAGGGGTCCATGCTGGTTGGCGAGGCCACCTAGGAGGCTGAAGGCAGACATGAAGGTCTTTTTGGTGATGGCTCCTTCAGAGTCAAGGCTTGGTGTGACTGTGACCCTACCGGAACAACAATATGCTGTATTTGATTTACATGGCTGGTTTTAGGGTTCTTGCATTGAATAGCTCTCGTCTGTTGCTTTTGATCACCCTGGGGACCTTTGGGTGTATGGGCAGAATGCAGATTTAATCAAACATAAATGGTGATGATGATGATGATAATTCTTAAAAAATGAAAGGGGGAGTTGAGACCGTGAGCCCAGAGCGTGTGCCAGTGGGGCAGACGGGAGAGAGGTTGTTCAGAAGAACCACCTGGCAGGTGCGGGTACCAGGTGTGACCAGCAAGCAAGACCTGAGCAGACTCGCCCCTCCCTCAGTTTCCAGCAACTGAGATTCAGAAGCGTTGCTGCCTCCAACCATGGAGCAGAGCCATCCTGGCTAGCGGTCATTGTGTCCTGCAGCCACACATCGCCTTGTCCTCCATGCAGTTCCCCAGTCGTCTTTGGAAGCCATCCAAGCTGGCAGCTGCGAAAGGATTTTCACGTACTGCTAGGACCCCTGCCTTTGGGGGCCAAGGCTTGGAGGCCGCCCATTCTGGAGCAGAGTCCTGAGCCCCAGCTGAAAGAGCCCTCTCACCTTGACTGCCAGGCTCGTGTCAGACTCTGGCCTGAAGAGGGAGGCCTTGAGGGATGGCGTGAGGCTCTGGAAAGGCTGAGAGCCTCTCTCCTCCTCCTCCTCCTCCTCCCCCTGGTTTGGATGGGAGACAAGCTGTCTCTGCGGATGGGGGTTTGCTCCCAGCTGAAGTTCTGTTCCCTGCACAGGCTTCCTTCTGGATCTCCAGGCCAGGAGGGGGGGGAGGGAGGGGGGAATAGCTCCCTCTTCCCCAATCTGTTGGAGCCGCCATCTTGCTGGCAGGGCGCCATTGGAAAAGCAAAAGGTTAATGAGCTAATAATTTGCGGCAGTGGGGGTGGGATTGCAGCAGTGGCAGCAGCCGCAGCGGCAGGGAGAGAGGATGACAGTGAACCAGCAATTACTAATTAGATGCAGTTTAACAGGAGGAGCAAGTGACATCTCCTCTTCACCAACTGTCAATAATTAGCGGATCTGGTGAGGCTGAAATGTGTCCACAGTTAAAAGGCTGCTTTTTAATGGAAGGGGGGGGGGAAGGGACTCGATAAAAAGAGCCGCAGGGAGGTCACTGCCATGGTCCCCGAGAAAGATCTCCCAATCAGGCAGGGGGACAAGGATCCACTGGGAGCTGCCGCTGTCTGGGGCAGGGCAGGGGACGCAGTGGCAGAGATGGCCCCCATGGGAGAGGAAGCCGGGGGGGGGAATTGGTTAAACTATGGAACTCATTCCTGCAGGAGACCCATTGATGGAGGAGAAGAGGGGTATGGATGTCTACTAGCTATGTCTGGAGGCAGCAATGCTTCTGCAGGCCGGTTACTGGAATCGCCAGGAGAGGGCTCTTGGGCTGGGATATTGCATGCTGGTTTCCCATGGGGGCCATTGGCTGGCCGCCGCTGTGAGGCCAGGAGGCTGGACTAGATGGGCCATTGGCCGAAAACATGAAAGCATTAGCAGGATTGCAATTACACTTGTGATGTAGAAGAAATAATAATAATAATAATAATAATAATAATAATAATAATAATAATAATAATAATAATAATAATAATAATAATTTATTATTTATACCCTGCCCATAAATACAAAAACCTATTAAACATTAAATGGAGAGACTTGGATGATGAAATAATATGCAGTTGAAAAAGTTGACATCAGGACCCATGGATGGAGGGGAAGGTGGGAAGTCTAGGGACTCGGAGAAATCTCTAAATATGGATATGTATTTGGCAATGTTATAATTCCACAATCAAATAAAATCAAATAAAAGCTATTTCACAGATGGGCCATTGGCCTGGTCCAGCAGCCTCTTCTGACATTCACACCTTGGCCAGGCGTGGATCTGTGGCTCAGGCCTCGCCTAAATGAACTGGAGCTGCACAAGGGCAGAGCAGGCATTTTCTCAAGGACCTCAGGGTGGTGTGCCTGGGTCTTCCCCCTCTCCCTGTTTTCTCCTCTCCACAACCCTGCAAGGGAGATTGTGTTGAGAGACAGACAGGCCGGCTCAAGGCCACGCAGTGAGCTTCATGGCTGAGCCGGGACTGGAACCTGCCTTTCCCCAGTCCTAGTCCAGCACTCCCACCGCTGAACTCCACTGCCTCTCTTCTGCTGGTGGCGGCGCTCTTGTGCAGCTTCAGTTCACTTCCATTGTGCAGGAGAGCAGTGGCCAGGGTGAATCCTTGCGCGTGGGTGTGTGGATGAAGACTGTAGCTCTGTGGTGGAGAATCGGCTTTGCATTCAGAAGGTCCCTGGTTCCATCCCCAATGAGATTTCCTCCTGGAAACCCTGGAGAGCCACTGCTGCTGGTCAGAGTGAGCAGTACTGAGCTGGGGGGGGGGCAATGGTCTATAGACCACAAAGGTTATTTATCCACAACAGGCATTTATCCATCTATCCACCGGTAGGTGGGTAGCTCAATCAGAGCATGAGACTCTTGATCTCAGGGTCATGGATTCGAAATCCATGCTGGGCAAAAGATGCCTGCAATACAGGGGGTTGGACTAGATGACCCTTGGGGTCCCTTCCAATTCTACAATTCTATACTATGACAAACCTAGACAGCATCTTAAAAAGCAGAGACATCACCTTGTCCATATAGTTTTCATCAGTAGTGATGTATGGAAGTGAGAGCTGGACCATCAAGAAGGCTGATCGCCGAAGAATTGGTGCTTTTGAATTCTGGTGCTGGAGGAGACTCTGGAGAGTCCCATGGACTGCAAGAAGATCCAACCTCTCCATTCTGAAGGAAATCAGCCCTGAGTGCTCACTGGAAGGACAGATCCTGAAGCTGAGGCTCCAGTACTTTGGCCACCTCATGAGAAGAGAAGACTCCCTGGAAAAGATGTTGGGAAAGATGGGGGGCACAAGATGAAGGGGACGACAGAGGACGAGATGGTGGGACAGTGTTCTCGAAGCTACCAGCATGAGTTTGACCAAACTGCAGGAGGCAGTGGAAGACAGGAGGGCCTGGCGTGCTCTGGTCCGAGGGATCACAAAGAGTCGGACATGACTAAACAACAACAACAAAATTATTTGTGTAGCCGAAGCAATGAAAAACAAAATACATAGAACAGAATAAAATGCATTACACAGTTAAAATAATTATTAAAATCAAGCATTCTGTCAGATTAACTTTTCACCCAACAAGCCTTCCTTCTTAAAAGTGCCTCTCTGAAGGCAAAACAAGCCACTCTTCCAGAAGTGTTGGGGAAACCTCTCCCCTGATGAAAAGTTAGAGTCCCACTCGATCTCCCAGCTGGGGGATTTAACTCTTTGAGCAAGGTTGCTCTTAAGTCCTCGTAAATTGGACAAACCAGTAAGTTGTGGGGT